TAATTTTTCTTATAAATTGTAACAATATAGGACTCATTCCACGTTACTGGGTATTGGGATATATGGGGAAGGGGATGCCCAAGTCCATTTTTACATGTAATTGGAAATCCAAGATTTGATTTCAGGATTTAATTAATTAGCACATGATTGTGTTCACATCTTTTAAGACTCTCTAGTCTTGTCAATGACATTCTATTTGAACAACAGTATATCATTATACTCTGATAATATAATTATAGGTGTTGTGTTGTTATGAATGTATCTTTTGAAACAAATGGTTCTAGCATTCTCATAATACAAGTACAGTAAAACTTGTGAACAGGGAATGCTCTTGGGAATGGAGGAAAGTTTCATTGCTCAGAGGTTTTCCCTATAGAGAGGGGCCACACTTCCAGCAAACTCAAACTTGCCGAATAAGCATTTTTTTTGTATATATATGGGCATGTAAGAATTGAATTTCAAGTTTCATCAACCCCATTTTATATCATTGATAATCTAGAAATCACAACTGATTAGATGTAATTAGGTTTGTTGAAAGGAAGAATTAGTGTCATGATAATAATTGAATTGATTGATTGACAGATTGAATTTTCATAATTTGCCTGATAATAGTGTTCCTAATGTTCCCTGTTCACAGGTTTTCCCTGCAGAGAGGGTCCATTAACATATAAGTCAATGGAAAAATATTTGGTTCTTTTGAAAAGGATTTCTTGTTTTCCCTACAGAGAGGTATTCAATCAGACAGGTTTTACTGTATATTAACTTGTCGAGCAGGACCGTTCAATGTTGTGTAAATTCATGTGTTTTTTCTGTCGAAAAAATTAACAAAATGTGTTGATAAGTTAAATAAGAAAAAAGAACTAATCAATGCTTGTTGTTTAGAGAAAAATGCATTCAAAATTTTAAGTCTCATAGAAACCAACGGTGCAATAATATTTAAAACATAATATATCCTTCTTTTCAATATAGTTTAAAACAATCAATGTTGGTTTATTTTGAAGATGAGCAAAGAAATATTGACATAGAATTATTTTCAAAAAATGTTTGCCACCTGAGTGACATCATGATGATGTCACAGTAGCGATGTTACTTAGCAATGGTGTTAGAAACCTTATGTGTTTTGCATTGTGTATAGTAGAATTTTTGATGGTTAAAAAATTTCAACTTTTATTTGGAAAATGGTGGAAAATTTGAATATTTAAGACATAGAAACCTAACAATTTTTTTTTAAATCTCTAAATTAACTTTTAAAGACTTGAAAAATAGTAAATGAATGATAAAAACATATTTCCAAACTTTCCATGGGACCTTTAAGACGAGAAATTGTTTGAAAATAAATAGCCCATACGCTTTGAGAAAACACATTTTATGTTTTTTAGGAATCGCATCCTTGGGGAGTAGTTGTTTTCTATTTAAACATTGTAACCTTAGCAACTCAAGACTGAGGATTGAATTTATGGGACAATGCTTTTGTATTTTTTGTTCCATTCGGGATAACCACTAAGATTTGTGGGCTATTAGTGAGGTATCTAATTGGTACCTGTCGTTTATTTATGATGATTGACTTGCCCATTGAGCCATTACCCCCATGTGTTGAACTTCCTTTCGCTAATTTTATCGGATTTATTGTGTTATTGACCCAAGTTAGTGATGTCATCATGGTTCAGTTCAACAAAAGCATTAAGTAATTAAAGGTTTCATTTCAAAGAAAGATGTTGTAATGTGCATCATCCTACACATGTAATTAGTTTCATGCTTCTCAACAACACTAAACATATTCATTAATTTCACGCTTCCCAATTTCTTCAAATGAAAATAGGTTAACAAACATTTATTAATTCAATTCCGGTATTTCAATTCCAGACGCTAGGCCTGAATCTAATAAACATGGCTTTCAGTGATTAAATGACAATTCACATTTAAATTTTATCTTTTTTCCAGGATCTGACTTGATTACCTCAGGATATATATCATTAGCTGGGCTTAATTTTACTGTCTTAATGACATCTCGTTTTTGTACATGTGGAGATTTTCTACTAAAAAGATAAATGTCCTTTATTTCAGGTTGTTTTGGCGAGTAGTCCTGATCTACAATGCGGTTTTTCTCGTGATCTCTTCATTCGCTGGTGTCAGAATAATAAAAACACGATTATATTGACCAATAGGACTTTACCCGGAACTTTGGCTCGAGACCTCATCGACAATCCAAATAAACAGGAGATTACTCTTGAGGTAACTATAGTAACGTCACATTTTGACAATTATATATGTCATTTTAATAGTTACGCTTGATGAGTTATTTGATATGTTTTTTAATTAAGGATAGCATGTAGAGGATTTAGGCATGATCGATTCTAAATCCTTTGCACCTGTATTGTATAAAGAAATGAGGATTTCTTCATTTCAAAAGAATAATCACTAGGCACAATTTTCCAATAAGTCTAAGCAAACATTTATACTTTATTATTGTCAGTCTTTTTGTTACAGTTCTCTATCCCTGAATTGGAAAATTTGTTCATTCTTCTTGGGACTTCAGGTCAGTTGTCTGACCCCCAACCAAGTAAAAATATATTTGCCCTTTAATAAAGTCCAACGAGGGAATTTAATATGAGCTTTAATTGAGAGAGGATGAAAAAGCCTTTTACAGTCAACCTCTTCTCTCTGTCTCGAAGCCTTTTAAATTTTCCCATTCTTCTGTGTCCCCCAATCTTTCATCGGAGTTCCTATTCCCTTCCATTTAAGCCCTTAAAATGATCCCTTTAGTTTTTTAATGTACATACAATTGATTCTTTTTAATAATAATAATATTTATTTCCTTTAAAGAATTTTGTAAGATGTTATTATTACATGAAGTGTAAAACCCCCTTTTGGGGATATTATCCACAAAGTAGGAAATTACAAAATGAATTGATCAAATCAAATCAAATCAAATTGATTACTGTACCATTGTTTTGTGTGTAAATAACCAGAACCTGTAGAACATTATTTTAATTCAAGGTTTCTCGGAGGATCAAACTTGATGGCTTTGAATTGGATGAGTTTCTCAGAGAGGAGAAGGAAAAGAAACAAAAGTTGGAAAAGAAAAAGCTTGACGAATCAAGGTAAAAATACTGTTTTTATCATTCAATTCTGTATGGAGTCTCTCTTGGGGAGTCAGGGGCTTGTTGTGAGACTGTAAAAAACAAAGATAATCTGCTTACATGCATATCCTGAACAGTGCCGAGGATGAACAGTGCCCAGGATGAACAGTGCCCAGGATTAACAATACCTATGCCTCCAGAGATAAGACTGGCATTTTGAGCATGTTTTTTAAAATGGCCATAAAATCTTGACCATTTTGATTGGATCAATAAAACTTGAAAGAATGAAGAAACATTGAACAAGGTTCAATTTTTATTGGCTCACCCTGTATTTGATACAAATGACTTTTCATTCTAATTTTCAAGGGGCTAACATTTAGGAACCATGTAAGATAATATCGAAGGGGTTTACATATTTGATAACAAGGAACTATGAAAAGATGATATATCTAAGGGGTTTACATATTTGATAACAAGGAACTATGAAAAAGATAATATATCTAAGGGGTTTACATAATTGATAACAAGGAACTTCAATTTATGCATTTTGCTTACAGGGAACTACATGAGGATGAATCTAGCAGTGACAGTGAGGAAGAAATGGAAGTTGACTCGGCATTTATGACATCTAAAGGAAAACATGATCTGATGTTGAAAACTGACAGTGTGAGTTCATCTCTTGAATGGGTCGTATTCAAGGAATACTGAGTCCCCCCCTTTTTGTATTGTCATATTGTAGTGTATAAAACAGTATGGTGGTATAGCTCAGGGCCATATTGATCTGGATGCAATCCATGTCTTAGATAAATACAGTGAAATAGATTTTTCTGTTTGTATTATCTCATAGTTGTCAAATCTGTATGATAACATGCTATTATATACAAAATTTCAAATCTGCAGAAAAGGCTTATCGATATCTGCACTTGCTCATCCAGATTTATGATGTCAACTCTCGGGTAAATATGTTATTACTCCAAATTATAGGATATCCTGTACATCTAAAATAACAAATTGCCTTTTGGGAAATTTACAAAGACAGACTTCTGAAGTGGTTCGGTACATTTGAATGATTTGGTAGAAGAGAATACCTTAATATAATGAAAAACATAATTCTCCAAACCTGAAATTTTGGTCAGGCTATTTTAACCTCTTGACTACCCAGAGTGATGAGATTTCTTGTCATCTAAGAAATGACCTTGAAACCTGAGTGACGAGAAAATCTGTCACAAAATTCTTCACTAAGTGCTCTAATTTGAACAATTTTCATCCAATTTACTCAAAAATGTTTCTAAATGTGTAGAAATAATCTCTTTTGACTAATTTCACTAAATAGAGCATCGCCTGTTTTCCATGTATGTACAAGTAGTAAAATGACTAAAAGTAAAAAAATGAAAAATTCTCTGGTTTCAAACCAATTTTAGAGCCTTGAATTCAAAAGGTCAAGTAACCTCGGTCTCTTCTATTTCATCAAAAAGCTTTTAGAGGATTCCACCTTTCAAAATGATGGTTGTATTTTTGGGTGACCTTGTCTTGTTTATATTGGCACTTTGTCTATGTCTTCTCTTTCTGTCAAATACAAAGTCATCTTTGGATGCATCCACTTTTCAAGTCATCTTCTCTCTCATTGCTTATGCCTCAGTCACATTTGATCTACGGCAATTGTATGGTGGCTGTAGCTTCCCAAAATCGAGAGAAACATGCAGCATGAAATATCGGGATAACCACTATGATGTAGATTTTCTGTATCCATTTTTCGAAGCTACGGCCACTGATACGGCTGCCATAGGGCAAATGTGACAGAGGCTTAAGCCTTCATCTGTACATGTAGCCTTGATAATTTCAACCAACAGATAAATGACCCCCTATTTGTAATAATTCATACTATAGGACAATGGCTTGATATTTATGTCTTCTGCTTTACAGACTAAGTCTACAAAGGTTGGATTCTTCAAACAAGTTAAAAAATCATTCCCTATGTTCCCGTTCCATGAAGAGAAAGTAAGATGGGATGATTATGGGGAAATAATACGGTAAGTTTGCTCAATTGGCAATACAGCTTTTTTGTCAATTCGAGTTGAAGAACTCATACAGTGAATCCCTAATGAACCATAACAAATGATTCAAGCCATCACCCAAGATGAGATTTATGAACTACAAAGGAGCTATTTAGAAATATTAGGAAATATACAGTACCATAGATAATTCACTCGCACATAATTATAGAAATTAGGAAAACAATGACTTGTAAAGTAATGACATATTAGTGCTGTTTGGTTTCACTCGAGTGTAAGACTCATTTCTATGATTAAAACAATGGAAGTCAATCTTACCTTACCATAGAACATAGATTCATCCTTTTTTGAATCATCTTGGCGTAAAATTAAAATCATTAAAATTTGGGGTAAAAATTAATCACTCGCCTATTGCTTACTGGATCAGGAATTTTGCTGCACTTTGAATATAATGCTTAAAGCTAACAATTGTTTTGAGTTACTGATTTTTTTGCATAGAATATAAACTTGTTTGAATTTTACCTTTTTAGACTTGAAGACTACACAAGTGCTGAACCTGCTATTCTAGAAGAGGAGACTAGTAAACAACAACCAATTAAACCACAGAAAGAGAAAGAGCCAGAGGAGGAAACTGTCCAAGGTCATTACTATTTCTCCCCACTTTGTCTGAATAATTTATTATTTATTTTAAAATGTGTTCTGTTTAACATTTTAGTATTATTCACAAAATGTTTGATTTATAGCACATTGTACTTTATTTCAATATGTTAATTATTTTACATTTGTACATCTATTCAAGAAAACTGAATAGGTTTGATTTTTATATAAAAGAAATATTGTAATTCTAACACTTTATTGGTTAAAAACTTTAGTTCATTAAAATATTATGTAATTTCATTTCATAAATATCTTTTAACAATGTTATAATATAATAATTAAATATGTAAATTGTAACATCAGAACATTAATTTTGAATAATTTATTTCAAGAAGGTCATTCTTTCCTATTTTCCAGAAGTGAAAACGATCCCAACAAAATGCATAGTTGACTCTGTGAACCTTAAGATCAATGCAAATATCATGTTCATTGACTTTGAGGGAAGATCTGATGGCGAGTCTATGCGCAAAATTCTCTCACAGATAAAGCCAAGAGAACTTGTAAGTACGACGCATGTACGGGGGATCCAATAAATAAAGCAAAGGTTGTTTTAAAACTAAAGATTAATTAGTATTTCTAAACTAAGGACTTTTTTCACCATCAATATAAACTCTATTGACTTGAGCAATAGATGGAGCCACAGTGCCTGGCCAAAATGCTGGACATAGTGGTCATTATCCACTCTGGTCCAGGGGGTAAGACAAAGTACTTAGTCCTCTAGGGCCATGATTTCACTATGTTGCCCTTTGAAATTAGGTTATTGGTTACACTGTATATTCTTTTTCAGATCGTAGTCCATGGAAGCCCTGAAGCTACTAAGTCTTTGGCGGACTACTGTGAACACTCTGGCATTGTATCTGGGAAGATTCACACACCAATGCTCAATGAAATGCTTGATTGTACCAAAGAAGGCTCAATATTTCAGGTACATTATATCCTCCCACTGACTAAAAATAAGTATAAGTAAAATAGAGATATGTTACATGTATCCCTTATATACATTTTATTTGGCAGCCCAGTCCTTATTCCAGGTTTAAATGGCTGTTCATTGTATCCTATTTAAAAAGAAAAAGTTTGATTCAATTTATGAGATATTAGAAATTCTAAACTGATACTTAAAACATGATTTACCAACAATGTTCATAATAGAAGATTTTGTAATTGCATCTTTTACTTGTATTACGGTACATTATGGTATTGTATGACATTATTGTATTGTATTACACTATTGTATTGTATGACATTATTGTATTACAGGTGAGGTTACAGGACAGTGTGATGAGTGCACTGACGTTCTCCAAGACGAAGGATGCTGAGATGGCCTGGATCCAGGCTGCTATAGATAAGAGTGTTGCAAAGACAGATACATCAGCAAGGTGGGCAAATTAACTATTTCAAATGGATTGGAAAAATGTTATATTTTGCATAGTGTGGTACTTTATTGAATGTGAAATTATTTGTTTGGTTTTGATTTGGCCAAACTTTATTTGACTTTTTGAAGTTTTGCAAAATGTAAAATTACAAGAGGAAATCTTGTATTGAAATAAACTTCTTATAAAAATGTATCCAAGGAAATATGCATGATAATAATGTGCATTCACTGTATATGATAAAAAATACATGCAGCAAAAGACATTCAGATTCCCAGGGTTTAACATCAGAAATTTGTGGCAGATTTTCATGTTATTTATATTCTATACTTTTGTAGTAAGACTTTGTTTGCAGTTTATACATAAATACTTAAATAGATCATTGCCTTAAAAACCTTTGAAACAAATATGTGTATGTTTTTCAGGCAAGATGAAGGAAATTCGAAGGATGATGATAGGGAAGACAAAATGGCAGTGGATGACCAATTGACCGATCAAACACCCACCTTAGTGGCATTGTCCAACCAGGTATAAGGCTTAATATATATATACACTCAACAGTTTCAACAGTTGCTCTTGTAATTTTTATCATGACATTGAAATTTGAGATTGGTGATACAATGGTAATAGTCTACACCTTTGAATGTCATTTAAAAGACTTATGATTTGTAGGCAGATTGTACAACTGGGCGACATTACCAACATACTTCCTGCATCGTCCCAGTGAATCAGCTTAGTTCATCATTCTTCAGAATTTTAATGGACAATCTTATTTTTGACATGCTTGATTAAAAATCAAGAAAACCACAGTTTACATATGAAAATCAGAAATAAAAGAGCAATTCTAACTTACAGATGGAACAGTGTGCTGGACATGAAGCAGTGTTCATTGGAGAGTTGAAGCTCTCTGATTTCAAGCTGGCACTTATTAAGGCAGGGGTACAGGCAGAGTTTGCAGGTGGAGTTCTCATATGTAATGGCACAATTGCAATAAAAAAGGTAACTATCCATATCGTGATGAATGCATCTAACATTAAGAAATTACAGTTTGAAATTCTTAGAATGCACCATTTATAATGCAGATTTTTAAATATTTCCGGAGTGAACTCCTTTTTCGGGGCTCGCTTTGCTCAGACTGATGCAAATCAAATAAATCGCACCCCCTTGACATTTGCTGGCTATGTCGTATATATGTATATGACACACGACTCAATGAAACCTCTTCTAAGTTAATTATTTGTGAAATATGTTTTATGAACATACATTGTTTTGTGGCCAATATTCTTTCATTGATGAAGATAACATAATTAAATCAAAATATTGCTCTTTTATTTTTTCAGAATGAGGCTGGTAAAATCCAAATAGAGGGCGCTCTTAGTCACGATTACTACCAAGTCCGGGAACTCCTATATGAACAGTTTGCCATAGTCTGAGAGTGTGGAATTTTACTATTCTGTTATTGAATGGACATGATTAATATAGGGGCAACATGCATCAAGATGTGTTCACAATTTAGGCATTTTTACCAATACTATGGTTTGGGGGGGGGGGCTATGAGATCTGGAAGCTAGAGTCAAATAATCTGAATAAATTGGTCTCTTGTGATCCTTTGATTACTCTTGTCACCTTGAAAACACTTCTGAACCTATTTGTATGTGTCAGAAGCTCTCAGTATTGGCGCAATGTAACTATATTCAAGTCGCCACACAATAGATGTCATATCAGAGCAACTATTAGGATTTGAGATAGTTAAGATGTGGAATTAGGAACTTCCTTATAAACTTGTATGACATGAAGTAGCTTTTTCATATTTAAAGCAAGGATTCCATGTGTAAAGGAAGGATTCCAAATTCAAGAGCCAAGATTGTACATTATAAAGATATGAGTATTAATTATCAACTGGATCATAAGTAAGTAACTGAGAAGTGTTCTATAGGCATTTTTAAATAAATTCATAAGTCTGATATTATGATGTCATAATATGCATAATTCCAACAATGGACTTATGAATTTCTTACCAAATAATGCTTCAAAAATCACCCTGTGGTAATCCATTATCACTTTTCTAAATACATGTACGGAACTTCTGAAACATTTAAAATAGAATTTATCAATTCTATCTTGGACTTTAGAAAATATTTTAATAAATGAATTTTAAATGTCAAATGGTCTTATATTTCATTGTATTTTATTTGTATTTCATTGTATTTTATAATATTATACACTATCAAGGAAAAAATAAAAAAAATATGTTTTTTAGAGCACTTTTCTATAGTAGTAACTCTGGTAACATATGATGTTATACTTGAGGTTTATACTGTTTCATATAAAGAACAAATAGGAAAGTTTATGATTCAATTCAGGTCAGCCATCTTGAGTAGGTAATTGAGTCCCTGGTTACTGTTGATGCAGATATTCTAATGTAGCACTCTTGTCAATGTAGACTCATTTAATCCCTCATAACCATTGTGGCTGTTAGCAAATATCCCCCTGTAGCACTCTTGTCAATGTAGACTCATTTAATCCTTCATTACCATTGTAGCTGTTAGCAAATATCCCCCTGTAGCACTCATGTCAATGTAGACTCATTTAATCCTTCATTACCATTGTAGCTGTTAGCAAATATCCCCCTGTAGCACTCATGTCAATGTAGACTCATTTAATCACTCATTACCATTGTGGCTGTTAGCAAATATCCCCCTGTAGCACTCTTGTCAATGTAGACTCATTTAATCCTTCATTACCATTGTAGCTGTTAGCAAATATCCCCCTGTAGCACTCATGTCAATGTAGACTCATTTAATCCCTCATTACCATTGTGGCTGTTAGCAAATATCCCCCTGAAGCACTCATGTCAATGTAGACTCCTTTAATCCCTCATAACCATTGTGGCTGTTAGCAAATATCCCCCTGTAGCACTCATGTTGATTAATGGATGTGTCCTGCCTGGTAGCACCTGCAACAAAATATTAACCTTAGAAAGCTATACCTAATTACAGTGAAACCTGTAAAAGTTAACACCTCTAGAAATGGAAAGAGAAAGTCCATGGTGGAACACTTCAGAATCCCATTTAGACCAACTATGTACAATGAATCTCTGTAAGTGGAAAACCTCATAAGTGGAACACCTTTTGGAGATACCTTAATATACATCAAATCAAGGAGTATGACTGAATAGAAACTGAGTTGCAATCCAGAAGTCAAGAGTTATCGCACTTTCAGTCCAATAACAGTATTTAGCATAGAGCTCACTGTGGGACAGTTATCTATGGTGATCACAATAATTCGTGTTTATGTACAAGTTCAGCTAAAAATGTGGAGCTTAACCCCATTGATGCAAGATTACCAATTACATTGCACAAGCCTAGTCTCTACCTGATGTTCCCTGAGCCAAGTCTCTGTCAACCTCAGATTCAACACTCCACCTCGACTCCTAAGTTTAGAGAAGCAGTCCATTAGAGGCTGAAAACCAAACATATATGAACATTAACACCGAGTATGATGTGCCACTGCCCTGGAATTCTATTTCTAAAGATTTTAAAGCAAATCTCTCCAAAGAAAGTGACACAGATTTTATAATGGTAAAATTCAATTCTTGAAAAGGGATTCATTTGTACTCGTACATGATAATTGATAACTTAAAAGATAATCTAAACTAGTGGTCGGGAGACTTACCTCTTTGTACTGTGAGAACACTACAATAGGCCTAGATGGCGCCACATACTCAATCAAATCCATCACAATAGGGGTTGGATGGAACTTTGATGCAACTATTAAACTGAAAAAACAATAAAGTGAAGAATTATTAGACATACGAGTACTTTTTATAAACACACCTTGTAAAAAAAGACATTAACATGAAAAATGTCACCTCCTGCCATTTGATACATACACAGAACATCAGCTGCCCACTGATAATAATTATGACTGGAAAATTAAACTTAATTCATCACTGCATAAATGTTACTTTTTAATGTAGTTCAACTACATAATTTCATACATAATACTAATTGTGTTAAGGTTTTTTGGGTTGATATTATAGATATTTTCATCATTATTTTCTGATTTTTGAACTCACCTATCAAAGTCACCAGCCTTGAGGATCTTTCTGGTCTCTTCCACCTTATTGCGCCACTCTGCCTTCTTCTCTGAGTGTTCCTCTTTCTGTAAAAACAACATTTAGAGTTTTGTCTTACAATACTAAATAAATATGTATGTGAGTGCATTGCAAGTGCCAAAATGGAAGACTAAAGAAAAGGGATTTGAGAACACAGCCTGATATATAGTAAGGAACAAACCCCCACTATCCCAAACTTTGAGGTGACAATTAAACAAGTCTTACATCCCCCCACCAATTGGGATTTGAATGGAAGAGAGAGTTCAGCAAGGAACGAAGTGGACTGGGATAAAAAATATATTGTCTGGTTATGCAAGTGTTTTGTTCAAGCAACTAAATTCAATTAACATTCCCTTAAAACAAAACCCTTCATTCTCAAACTCCTACTGAACAAACCAGAGTCATATAAATTCAGTTTTCACAAAAAGGTATTAAAACAATGGAAACAAACCTCATAACGGAATCGCTTGCTCTTGTTGTCACCGTTTGTTGCTTTCTCTTTAGTCTCTTTTGTAACACCCTGTTCAGTATCTGTATTCTTTATAGCAACTATTGCTTCATTCTTTTCTGTAGTATCCCCTTTTGAATTGTCTTTAATAATTTCATTCTCATTTGTTTTGTCTTTCCCAGATTCAATTCCTGTTTTGTCAGAATCATTTTCCATAGCAACATCACTTGCTGTTGCCATAGCAATGTCAGTAGATTTCTTCTCTATAGTAACAGTGTCCGTATTAATGGATTGTGGGTTTGTATCTGCTATATCTGTGTTTACTGTGTCTAGTTCATGAAGTGGGTAGTGGTGAAGAATGGCTAACTGTTCTTTGGTAAAGTTGAACACTTCTACTGCTGGCCTGTAAATAAATAAAAAAACATACATTCATATCATCATTCAAAGGAATTTGCATTATTTCTATCTATGATGAATCACATTTTGAAGTAGTTTTATGTGAACATTCCTACACACACATGTAAGGGACAAGAGCATCTGTTCGAACATGTAATTCAAATAAATATGAATTTGTCAACTTTCAAATATGGAAGGAAAAAAGGCTGCGAGGAAAAAATATCCAAGAGCACAAGCAACTATAAGGAAAATAAATACCCCCAATATTACAAATTACATGTATGATCTAATGCACAAGGAAAATATGTGGGACACTCCCTCAACATTACAGGAATCAGGAAACATGTTCTGAGGAAAAACCTCCCTGTGTTGTACCACAACATTTTTATGACATTTTTTGATATGTAATCTAAGTAGAAAAAAAGACTTCAGTTAAAAGACTAATCAATTTGGACATAAAAGTAGCATAAATAATTTCAATTCAGTATTATCAATAGCCTTTCTACACACATGTGTAGAGGACACTACTCGAGTTTACCTTGATCCATGCACATCAGTCCCAGAGTATACGCTTACGACACATCCCAGTCCAGAGAGACGTTCAAGCACAGCTCCTAATACCAAGCCCAGTGTGTTTTCCATGACGATGACGCGACTATTGGCACGAACATTAGCTTGAGACAAAATCTGACCAAGGCTATCAATTCTTAGATTCCTGTGAACAAATGAAATGGTCTGAATGAGAAGATGGCAATTTGCACTCAGTGGGCCCAGGGCCAGCTCATGTATCATTGCCATGTTACTTAAGATATTTCATATTTATATTAGGTATTTGATCCGTCGAAACCTCAATAAAATACTTTGAAATATAATTTTACAAGGCATTAACATGCAAAATGTCACCACCTGCCATTTGTTACAGATGCTGATTGCCGAATGCCAAATGCTGACAGCCAGACACAGTGCACAAAAATATTGGAGACTATAACAATATGCCACCACTTTGGTGGTGACATAATAAAAGAATATGATCTGTCCATGTTTGATTATTTGATTATACAAGACTTGAATATCTACCTAAACTATAAAACACTATAAACTCACAGTATGCGTGCAGGCCCTTTGTTAGTGTACATATCACTGATGAGGCGAGTGCAAGGCCTTAATATAGTATACACTGAAACATGCCTGCAATTATAAAAATAATCATTAAAGATATAAAACAGATAATCAAAATACAAGATAATTACAAGTTTCATGGCTATTGTACATGTATTACACTTTCTCTAATGAACATTTGGTGATGTACTGAGATTGAATATTTATCATTATAATTTTAAGGTATGAGAGTTTGATATTTATCAAGGGAACAAAGTTACTGACAGACTGAGTGTGGTACCATATTATCAGAAATAACCCATTTTCTATAAATACGTGGAACTTTATGGCAGTGAATAAATTGTAAAATAAAAACTGTTCTCAGTGATCGCATGATGTTTTCCCAGTGTATACAGTTCAATACAAATTTTATCTAAAATCTTAAACTGGTCCTAGTACATATATAGGTATTTTAAAAAAGCAAAATCAAATAATTGGGAAGAGTTCTAATTCCTTAATAATTTCGATGAAAACAAACTGCACATGTTTAACCAGAACAACGGCAACGCCAAAGCGTAGCGAATCCCATCGAACAGAAATGGCTGGCATTTTTACAAACGAATAGCAAATATCATAAAACAACACACCAGAAAGGCCACCATTTTCAAAATGGTTGCTCACTAGCCAAGTTGTCATCAGAAGAAATAATATGCTTTTCAGTAGCCACCTCTAAAATTTTTGAAAAATCGCACACGTATTTGTAAAATAACACACATAAAAATGGTGGCCATTTTTCAAAATGGCCGACTACTCCCCAAAGTTTTATTAGACAATGTGCCATGCTTAAAGTATTCACATATCAAATATGAACAAAATTGCTCCACTACTTTTCGAGTTATAGTAAAATACATTAAAATGGCGGCCATTTTTCAAAAAATTTTCAAAATGGCCGCCTTCTACCAAAAGTGTCATAGGACAGTGTGCCATGGTTATAGTATTCACATACCAAATATGAACAAAATCGCTCCACTACTTTTCAAGTTACAGCAAAAATCGTAAAATAACGAGTAAAGGCCGCCATTTTTCAAGATGGCTGCCATGTGCTTCTTTAATATCTACATTTGTAGCATTATTAATGTCCTTTATAATTTTTTTACATTTAAAACATATTGATATAACAGTTTTACATATTGCACCTAAATTACTGTAAAATCAGCACTAAAATGGCCGCCATTTTGAAATGAGCAGCCATTTTGAAAATCGGCTTTCGAGCAGAACTTCTACCCCCATAAGGTATATGTGTACAAAATATGAACAAAATCGGGCCAACGGTATTTGAGTTATTGCCCGGACGGACGGACAGACGGACGGATGTACGTACGGACGGATGTACGTACGGACGGACTTACGTACGGACGGACGTACGTACGGACGGACGTACGTACGGACGGACGGACGGAGGCGTTCCCTATATCCCTCCGAACTTCGTTCGATGGGATAATTATGTATAATATTGAATCTGTATTTTGACTTACTTTTTCTTTTTCTTTTTGATATACTTTTCCTGTGAGAATTCCGTCTTGATCTTGAATGTGGCACTGTTTTCTACCAGTTGGTCAACGATTTCCTGCAAGTTGAAATAACATAACAGGTAATACAGTTTCATGGCAACAGACCATTTTCTCCTGTTTTTTTCCTCTTGAAATTGCCCATTTTTGAGGAATTCCCATCTGTTTAGGCTCTAGAACTGACATTTCTTAATGTATATTATTCAGGGAGCTACAGGCATTTTAAGCACACATTATTTTTCCAAACAATTCCAAATCTATTTTATCACAAGTGACCAATCAGTTAACAATACTAATACTGTAATTAATTTACCTGTCCTCTTAATCCTTCTTTTTTCATTTCGACAATTTCATCTCTGGAAAGTTTCTGGTTCTCTAAGTTACGATCATGCAGATCTCTGTTGTCTATGCCTTTGTCTAGAAAAAATGAAAAAATTGTGTGACAATGAATAAACTCAAGCTACACACAAACATATGATAGTACAGTCTTAATACTTCAACAATCTTAATGATCAAAAATGTAACTTTAACAGCCTTTTCAGAAAATGAACTGTCATTATCATCCAACTAAACATATTCTGATTGGTTAAATGCTAAATAAAAGAAGTTACTTTTATTCAAAGAGTGTAGATATTAAGCTGTCAAGTCTTGCAAAGAGTACATTGTTTAAAGTACATATAATCAATCATTCATAGTGCAGTGGCTCAGTGGTTAATAGAAGCTTATTGTGGGATGTATAAATCAGCCAACATAATATGATCTTTAAAGTTTAAAATATCTGTGTAAGGTTTTTGTTGATTCAAAATAAGAATACATTGTATAATATTTCAATAAAGTCGTACACACTCTGTAGCATAGAGCAATAGATAAATGTAAGCATTTTCATGAAAACAAAAAGGGTTCAATATTCTAATATGGGAGTGGTAAGTCTAGCAAACCTGTAGCATCTTCCGTGTTCAAGATTTTCCTCTCCACTTTTACCAGTTTCATGTTGCAGACCTCAAACATTGTGCCATATGGGTGACCTATTGCTCCATCTAACTTGAATTTCATTTTTTCCAAGAACATTGTTCTGAAATTATATGCAAATCTGATGTGTAACATTTCACATATATATGAATTTGTATGATCATTTTAATTATGTCACTTATTTCTAAAACTGTTTCAAAAATAAAGGACTTTTTAGTCAAACAAATAAAATACTCTCAGATTATTATGTACTAGAGGAATAGCTAACATTTCTCTCCATCATGCTATTCCCATTGGCAGCTTTTATAATGATGCTTGAATTTTAATTACAAATAATTTGCAAGTTTAAAATCACCAGCATGGCTTATTCTTCAATAAAATATGTTTTATATACAGGGTGAAGGGAGGTTGCTGATGCTATGAGGAAAGGATAAATTTCAGTGTTCTCCTCAAAATAAATTTTCAACTGGGTGCAATTTTTCAAGTCATAAAAATATCTCCCGCTATCTCCAGGTGGCTGCTTATTTCACTCATTTTCCAAATTAGAAGTTGAAGTGCAGGGTGCCAACTGGGTGGCATTTGGTTTGAAGTAGGCCCCCCATGGTAAAAGTGACATGGGGAGATCACTGGATCTACTAATTAAAGTAATGAAAATCCATCTGTCAAGATTATGTTTATACATGTGATATTCCAAATTCACCTGTTTTTCCTAATCTGTATTGCTTTGAGAATGTTTTCCTTTTTAAAGATGACAAAGTCACCTTCTTTAATAGAATTCTGCATCCGTCCCGACTCTGATGTTCCAGGATCACATGGCCTCACATCTTCTTTTGCTTCTGATGCCATCTCTGAAATAACATAAAAGAAGACTAAAGGAGAGAAAAACTGTCTTAAAATACAAGATACCATTATAGTCTAGAATAGGTATGTATAAAATAAAATGACATCTTACATTTTGACGAGCACCTTAACCATGGTTATCAAATGAAAGGTAAAGGGTTTGTTTATTGATACTGAGATTTGCCAAGATGAAAAAGGTGTCGAATTGACTTTTTGGGTAAAAAATGTGTTTTTCGCAAAAAAAATTTTAAATTGATAAAAAATATTTTTGAAAACTTATTATATAAAATACAGTCTAGTTGACTCTCAAAAGTCGAAATATACCATGTTTAATCAACTTGGGGGGATTTTGGGACCTTAATAGTTTTTCTTTGGGATTTGCATGCAATATCGACTAAAATGAGTGTGTTCAAAATATGATGACAACGTTAACACATTTTGACGAGCAGCTTAACCATGGTTAATGATTGAAAGGTAAAGGGTTTCTTTATTGACACTGAGATTTGCCAAGATGAAATAGGTGTCAAAGTGAGTTTTTGGGTAAAAGATGCGTTTTTTGCAAAAAATAATTAAATTGATAAAAAGATATTTTTGAAAATTTATTATATAAAATACACTCTAGTTGACTCTCAAAAGTCAAAAAAATATACCACGTTTAATCAACTAGGGGGATTTTGGGAGCTTAATAATTTTTCCTTTGTGATTTGCATGCAATATCAACTAAAACGAGTGTGTTCAAAACATGATGACACCATAAACATATTTTGACGAGCAGCTTAATCATGGTATATAATTGAAAGGTAAGGGGTCCCTCTGTTGATACTGAGATTTGCCAAGATGAAATAGGTGCGAAGTAAGTTTTTGGGTGAAAAATGCGTTTAACAATTTTATGTTTAAAAGAACATTTTTAGAAAAAATATTATATGAAATACAATCTAGTTGACTCAAAAAGTCAAAATATACCATGTTTAATCAAGGGTTCCTTTATTGATACTGAGATTTACCAAGATGAAATAGGTGTCAAAATGTGTTTTGGGTGAAATGCGTTTTTACAATAGTAATTCAAAAATTGAAATATCTTTTTTGAAATCAAATTTTAACAAATATAGTCCGATTGATTATAAAAAAAGTGAGAACAACTATTTGTTATCAATTTTGAGAGATTTTCGAAGCTGTTTGAGGTATTGTCTTGTGGTTTGTATCTTGCGAATTCAAAGGCACTTGAATTAACTCAACCCCACCCAAAAAAATACAACCAAAAAAGAGATGAGAGGTTTAGAATGCTTTTTGAAGTTTCTAGCTCAATTTTGAAGGAGGTTGCACCAATTTTTAAAATGCTACGATTGCAGCCCCCCCCCCCCTCAGCTGGTTGAAAGCGGGCTACGGCCCTGCTATGTATACCCTTTGTTTTATGTATATTCCAGTTCATACATTAGTTAATGAAAACACCATATAATTATCTGTGATGTAGCGGATATCTACAATGAATATTTTAATGTATCCTCTATTACAAGAAGATACGTGGTCAATGAAATTTGTAAAAATTGATCATAAATAGGAAATCCTTTGATACAAAATTATCTTTAAAATACTTCTCTCAATCAAATTATCACTAACACTGAAAGCATCACCATTGACAATGTTAATTGTTGATTCAAATAGTTTTTAATGTTAACAATTAGCAAAGATTTGAACTGCATCAATCTGTTATCATATTTGCACCCAGCAGTACATTTGATCCTAGACACTGGGCTGATGCACTGACCAATAAGCTCTGCATTCCATTGTGCAGTGTATGTCTGGTATGAATGTAGAACTCATGATTAATACAAGTACATTTGACAGATATTTTAATGTGATTTTCACCTTCATCTTCTATTTCATAATTATTCTCATTTATTTATTGACTGTAATTTCATTGGTACCATCAATTTTAAAGCATCAAGCATGTTACTAAAACTCTTTGTTACAGTCTTAGCACACAAGTCAAGATCAAGACCAAGTATCCTCTTAGTTTGGTACATCAAAATATCCCTTCTTAATTGCACTGTTGTGTGTCTAGCTCAGGCTATGTGTGAGAAGATGTTTACTCAAGTAGAGGGGGGAGGGGTCACAGAGGCTTGAAGCTAGACTACCTTATTTAACACATAATACAACGTGACTTGATTATGGGTTACTTACAGTATAGTAAAATAACCATTTGGTATATCAAATAAGCATGTACTTTTATGTGATAGCAGACTTATAAATACAGTAACTCCCTTATGATAGAACCTGAGGAGCAGACAATGCTGCAATGCTGTAGTGTGATTCTGATTATTGGTTTACTAGTTCAGTTAAATCAATCAAAGCAGATTGAGTACTGTAATCTATGGACTTTTCAAAACACTGGCACATGTCCAGCATGAAACAATTGACACATTGACCATAGCTGTTTTGGCATTTATGTGGTGATCAACACTGGTTGTATTTATTGAACTAGTTAAGAAATGAGGAATGCTTTACTAATTAATCGTCTAATTAGTGCCTTTCGACACCTCGTTCACTTTGGCAAATTTCACAAATCGTTTGTAAGATATAAAGGATTATTTTGATACAGGTCTCTAGGGTGCTCGCCAAAATGTAAGAACTCTCTCTTTCTAGAGGCTTTTATTTTGAAAATATTCTAGACTATTACTTTTGACTCAAATTCTCACCAAGTGCTACCATTCTCAGCTACCATTTGCATGTTGATGGGATTGGTTGGATGGCTGGTACATTGAGTTGGAGGTCAGTTGGGTGGTTGGTTGCTTTGTTTGTACATTGGCACAATTAAGGGCATAAAATGAAAAAATCAAATTCTTAACCCTGCTAGGAATGTTAGGTACCCAATCACTGAATGATATGGTTACTCAGTTTTTTACACAAACCCAGATCTTCAACTTCAGAAAATGGTACATTTAAGAAGATATTTCCGAGGGGAAATCATTTACACTATTAGGCAGTCACTATTTGTTTTATTTTATACCCAATATCGATTTATCCTGTTTCTCAGCTAAGGCCAAAACAGACAACTCAACAGTATTCTGGATTATATTACTGATATCAGTGATTTTCTTGACAATGTTGAACAAAAGTTTATGATTCCTTCATCACATTCTTGGTTATAAGAATCCGTTGATGACAAAAGGCTCTCTAAATCAACCTCATTTGTGTTTGTGTGATTCCTCATTTTTCTGTTTTTATATCCTTGGTGTGATACAGAAACAGATCTTTATGGGAGCGCAGTGAGGATGAGCAGACATCTCTAAGGCTCATAGAAGTTGCAATTGTGATGTCAGAGGGCAATCATTCAAATGTTTATTCCCGCTTCTCACATTTGAGGGAATACTTTCAGCGGGAAACAGTAATTCCATTTTATGACACGACATGTGACTATGAATTGACCCATCAGTACATATATAGTAAAAACAAATATTCTTCATCAGATACATAGGTCTACATTCTACGACCAATATGAAGAACTTTCAACATGTAAACTGCAATTATCACCCACAAAAATATTTTTCAAATATTTGAAATACAATATTGACAAAATGAGATATTTTCCTTTCATGAAACCTGGTAAAAATATGTAATTTATAATGAAGTACAATATTCTGGTGTACATGTATGCTCATAACTCTGAGGTTATATACAAACATAAAAAATATAAGGAAACATTGAAAAATTTCTTACCGGAAACACACTTTTCATGACAATATAGTATCTATTCTATATATATTACCATAAATCATCATCGTACTCTATTCAATAATTTTATATAAAATCATATATATAAATTAATGATAAAAATTATCAGATAATCTATAAAGGCTCACAAATATATGCCGTATTAATAAATGTTTTGGCCCCATTCCTTCTCATGACCTACTTTCGTTTTGCGGAATGGCGCCGGAAGATGCACCGGAAAAGTAGTGGCCGCTTTTTCGGTAAAAAAAGACCCGATAACAAACCAAAAAGTGGCAATAAAGAGCAAGAATCTGTACATAAGAAAAATATCCGTATGTTGTCATATCCTGTGGTAGCTGTGTTTAATATACTAAGAGCAATCGCCTTCCAACTTTGGATATTTTTGGACATCATATGCCGAAGTTCAACCGATCGATTTTTGACAGCACAAAAACAACAACCCGAAAAACCCCAAGAACAGAACATGGCACAGAGAAAACCAGAAATATTTCCGCAAGCTGCAGAACCAACGTTATTGAAACAGAAATGTCACCATAGAAAAGCATTTGAGTACATATCTAAGGCCTTGAAGATCGACGAACAACAAGAGCAGAAGGGTGAGTTTGGGCACAGTTTTATCCTGTTCTATTTTTAGATTATTCACATTGTTTACAAACACAACCACGTGGCTTGTGTCCAGGTATGGTTGTGATTCATAGTCATTTTCTCCAAATATTGATTATTGTCAAACCATGTGATGCTGATGTTTTATCCACAATAAATACAATTGCAAATACTTTCCGCCAGAAAGCAGATTGATTTACAACCATATGAAGAAATTTCTGATGTGAATATGGAGAATTCTGATGTTTCGAGTTCTCATATGCCTGTCATTGAAACAGATATGATAGAAGATGCCACGGGTGATGGCAACGTTAATGCAAGTTCAGTGGATGCACATACAGCCATTTGTGATACTATAAATACTTTTAATGATATAAACATTAAAACACAAAAATCCCATCACAAAAATGCATATAAATATGTTTCAAAAGCACTGAAGATTGATGAAACAATGGATGATCAACTCAATAGAGGTAAGAGGAGGCATCAAAAAATAAATGGGGTAAACCAATTAAGTTCAGGGGTTTCGATACTGAAACGTTTTCCATACATATGAATTCAGCCTTATAAAGTAACCGAAGGCCTAAATGGTTTATCTTCTGAACCAAAGAAACAAATATTGTTATAATCTGGTTTCTGTTTCTTTTAGTAAATCTGAAATAAAACATTACACTGACTTTTTGGCTCGATAAGTTGAAAATTATTCGGCAAGAAAATCTCCAACCGTGTTTATAACATGTCAAAAGCAAATAGAATGTAGAGTCGTCATTACATTTCACCTGGTGATGATGAGACTATTTCTATATGCTACGATAAAATCAATATACAGATTCAGGTAACAGTGTCAAAATAACTTTTTACAATGGAAATTACTGCTCTGCTGCAATGAGATTATCACACTTCTATGCTATAAATTGTGAAAATGAATGTGTGGTTGAATTAAGAAAACTGATAAACAGATTCAGTTTATATTACTTGATCAATACTCTGCAAGTATAGGATTATAACAATTTGAATTAATATGCGGGCAGGTATAACATTCTATGTAAAAGAGAAATTACCTGTAATAATTAATCTTAGAGACTTTAGTATACATAAGTTTGTGTTAATTCTCAGCAGATATTCGTGATCTACTGTACTAAGAGTTGTTATGTAATAAAGAAATATACATACTGTATGCAGGAATGGAATGATTTAGATAATGAAAGAAAAGAAATGAATTGTTTAGCTAGCTGTAAAATGTTCCCTAATCAATAATATGTATTTGGATCATATACAAATTGACCATTGACCGGTCAATTCCCAGTTGCCTAGTTTGACTTATTGACCGCAATGCCATACAGGGTCACGTTCTGAGTTATTGACTATAGTCCTTTGACTTTAGTGCAAGGCATGAATTGTAATATAGGCATGTTGTTTCATGAGTTTTTTCAGATTGAGGTTTATTATTCTTTACTAGTCCCCAGCATGATGAAACTTACTTAAGTAAGTCTCATCCAAAATGGTGGACTAAATTTGTTGGATATTGATAAACCTTCAATTTCAGCCAAACCATATAAAATCTGGTTTCAAAATATTTCGCGAATAAAATTTCAGTTGTAAACAACTACAAAGAAATGTTCAATCAGCTTTACTTAGCATGAAATTAACTGTAATGGATGATGAGACTTAAACTTGATATTCACCAATGATGAAACTAACTAGAGATTTACAATATATTCTTCCCATAGAGTTAGTCTCAATTTCCCCTGCTAGAGTTTGATATTGTATGATAGAATATAATGTTTACTTCATTTTTACGATATCATGGGATGCCATTGCCTAATTTTGGCAATGGGGTGGAGCAGTTCATTTTTATAAGAAATTTAAAGATTTCTACACAATTTTTTAACTCAAAAGGTGCTTATTTGCAGATAAAATGAACTAGCACATGCAATGGCAATATCACTCATGCTTTTGCAGGAAATTTGTAGGAAGCCTATATGATCTAATACAAAGTTATTGAAAAAGATGTGGACGTCCTTCACTTGGAATGGTTGTTTGTTTTTTATTTCAAAATTAGTTGACGACATCCTGCGATATTGACCAAACCAAATATACATTTTCAGGCTATAAGGAGCAAGCCATAGAGCTGTATAAGAAAGGCATTCATGAACTGGAAAAGGGCATTGCAGTAAATGTGCAGGGACATGGTAAGGCATAGCTATTTGTTTGTACAGGATTCTTAAGACCTTCATCATGTTCTCTATAACTTAAACCTAGTTATCTGTTTATCATTTGTCTTCCCGCAAATCTGATTGTGTTGAGATTTTTATGTGACTTTAAACAGAACATTTACCTTGCATGATAATAAGGAAAACTCACATTTGATCTTATTACCAAAGATGATGATGAGGCTAATAGAATATTAAGTGATATTGACATTCAAATACCATTTTGTTGTGGCCTCCCTTGAAATGAATCAAGTGAGTGCCCACTTGGGATTTTGAAAATAATCCTCCTGAAAATTTATGTATGAAAATGACAACAAAATTTGAATATTTTAACCAATTTTTGTATCTCGGAAGAACATTGGAAAGTTTGGATTTGTTTTATGCATTGGATTTATTCCTACATGATTAAAGGCCTAGAGGTAGCCAAACTCAATTTCTGTATGAGAGAACAGACACTTGATGATATTCCCCAACATTCGATGAATAATTATTGTAATAAGAGTATCAAAGCTGGAATTGATATGGTTACGTGATGCTGATATCAATTATTTATCAATATGCATAATTTAGAAAATTGAGATCTGTTCATTTGCAATGTATGTTTGATTGTCTTGCCTCAAGACTGTGGACCTCCCCTTTATCTACTTCTCCAATACAAACCGTGTAGAGTAGATGGGGGGGGGGGTCAAGGGTCTTGTTTGAGATGGCAATACCATTCTTTGGTATGCCAGATGAAGTTATAAACTGGTAGACAAACTTGGTTCAAATTTATAGACAAATGCCTTATATTGGCATAGGACCTCTGCAATGCAAATACCAAATTTTTCATCCAAATTTTACAGGCTGATATATCTTATGGTTATTAGATGTACCTTTAATCAAAAAGGAATTTATGATATGGTGTCACGTCACATCATAGGTGCAGGATGGTTTAACCAAAACGAGACAAATCTACTCTACTACTTCCTGGTTATTCCCAGAGGGGGAGAAACACCAGGGTTCAAAGATGACATACGCTTATAATGTAAATCTGTATTGAGATGACATCGTTGCTGATTGGTCAAAAGTCGACAAACAAATGACGTCATCAATGGCGGTTAAAAAATTTCGAAATACGCTTCGAATAATATTATGTTCATTTTTGGCGTGTTAACCAATATCATAGCTTCTCATTTCACATCAAGATAAAGAAAGGTGTACGGAATATGCCTATATCAATTTAAACATCCCATCGAAGTGTAGTATTTGATAACTAGCCGATGAAAATTCGAACGAACGAAGGTGGTAAGCAAGAGAGGTAATTATGTCTGTCATCTTTAAACTCTGGGGCTTTCCCTCCTCTTGGTTATTCCTGTCATGTTATGTTCAAAATGATGAGTGATTAAATGAAATACATTTTGTTCCTTGAGATTGGTACTACTGCATATATAGAGCATCCCGATGGTGTGGTTAGAGTTACCAATATAAGTAGAGGAGTGAGTTTTATAAGTGTTATAGTGTCTACAGGTAATTGATTGCATAATGTCACTGATATTGCAATAATACATGCATTTTTTAAAACAACATGTTTTTATTGTATAATCATACTTTACAATAAATATACATAACTTGGTGTTTCATATTGTAAAATATAACTTGCTTTTCCTTGTTTTGTCTTCATCACCATCATGTCCATTAGCATTGTCTGTGTTATATTGAAAACGCATATCATAATCAGGTTCTATTGATCTTTGTTTTTGCCAAATCTCTTTTTTGTTACCATGTTCTTCAGGGTGATTCACAAACAGTTTTCACTTTAACAAAGGCATACACTCCAATTAGTAATGTATACTCCGCTCCTAGGTCAGAATGTCCTAGTAGGGAATACATTGTATATGGAATTTGGGATAGCTCTATTTTAAAAAAGTTAATAGTGTATAATCACTGACTGATTCTCTCTAATTTTATTGACATCTCATTGTTAATGGATTGAAATTTTCACTCATTAGGCTCACCATTCAAATTTTTACAAATTCCCAGGGATTTGGCAGCTTCTCTCCTCAACAAGAAGTTGCTTAATGCAATGTGTGTTTATTAGAGAGAATATGATTGTTGTCCTTTCTTTGTCCTGTCATCTGTAACAACATCTATATTCCCCATCTGTCTTTCACGCAGATTTGGGGGTATGTATATAGTTTGGGGTTGCCTAGTTTCCGAGTTGATTTGGGTCTGATCATAGCCATGGTACGAATTTGCGAGTAGGCGGTCTTCTTCTCCCTGGGGTAACCAGGGTACAATGTGCTGGCGCCCTCCCTCCTCGTCACTGGCCCCTAAGATTCTGTCTCCAACCATCACGGTCACATTGTCACATACATTTGGTAATAACACACCTGGATACAGAAGATGGAGTACAACTTGGAAATGATATCAAAATATTAGATATTTTGTCTTGATAAATCTCTCTTTGGCACCTGACTTTGTAATAAGTATTTTATCTCTCAGGTATTGGATTTCCCCAAATTATTGGCACCTGACTTTGTTATAAGTATTTCATCTTTCACGATAATGGATTTCCCCAAATTATGTGTATAACTTCCTGCTTCGAAGAATGTAGAGATTATAGAAATTTAATGCCTGTTTATTTAAGTAAGAGAATAACCTTGTCATTTTGAAAGAAAAAATAAATTTAACTTTGAAATTGTCAAATATATAATGCTTACTCCAATTATCTCTAATAATGCATACTCTAATAAACTAAATTATCTCTATCTTAGAGTTCCTCAAATATTAACATAAAATATGAAAATGTGTCAATACAGAAATGAACAACTCTTACCTTGGAATAATTTTGAAAAGTAGAATCTTGCCAGGCTTCCTCTGAATGCACATCTGAACACCAGTAGAATACTGTCCCATCCCTTCACACCAACTTCATGAGGACCTGAAGAATGAATACACATTATCATATACAGTAATATTCACTTTACATCTTGACTTGATTATAGTATATTTCATACCATTGGAAAGCCAGCCAGAGGATTATGAATTTCTAAGTGACTAAATATGTCATTTCAATTATTTTCAGCTGTTTTTTATTTCAAAAATAAAACAATAAGTTTATAAAAATACTTTCAGGCTTTTGTTACAATGATATTTTGTTGTCTTGGGTTTGGTGATCTAGGATATTTCAAATTCTAGACATTTTCTCGTAGCATGCACATTTGCATTTTCTCGATTTTTATCTTTTGTTGCATATCTTGAGATTATGACTTTAACATCTTGTCATCATTTATGCCTTACCTAGTGTATACCCAGCTGCGTTGCTTGTCTTATCGCCTAGTTTGTTTATAGACTTGGCCACAAGTGAAGTATCATACAAGAAGAATGCCACCATTCTCAATGCAAATAGACCAAGGCTCATATTGTACACACCCATCAGTATTGATACCCATGATGGGCTCAGTGTCTCCGTTAAACCTGCCCTCACTGTCTGTCTGGCTATAAACCCCCAGGCTGATGCCAGTATGACAACCAAAAGAGCCTCCATGGTCGCAAGTACAAGTTCAAGTTCATTACGTGTGTTATTAATATGAACCAAATTTACAGTAACAGCGCTTGCTATCCACAGGCTTAGGAGAAAAATCCATACGATGAAGTGGGCCATTTTTGGCAGAGCTTTTAAATATTGCCAACCATGGAATCGCTGCCATTTGAATATTACAACCAGTAAAACGATTATTGCGGCAATTGCAAATTTTGTCCCCATATGGTATACGTGATCTATAAAACTTTGTGAAACATCCATGTACTTATCATCAGTATCAGATTCATCATCATTTGTGCGGTTGTTATCCTTTACATTTGCATCTGTAGTTTTAAATGCATGCATGACAATTGATTTTTCAGCTGTTATGTTATGCGGTCTGCCACATTTCTCCAATGTTTTTCCATCAAAAATACAAATCAGGTTCATCGCAAGAAGTGCAGTAGTGAAAAGAAAACATACACTTATTAAACACATCAATATAATTCCAGTCACTTTTAATCCAGTTGCATTCATCTTGCAAGCCATTGTTAAACCTCCCTCGTTTATAAACTGCTTTCTGTTCAAATAATTTTGTTGTTGTGTCGTGCACCTTGCCTGAACCTAGTAAACTCAAATTTTCGTTTCTGGGAAGTTCCGAGAATTAGGGAGCCTTATTTGCCTATCAGGAAGATATTTTTGACAAATTTGTAGTTTCAGTTTCTTTTCTGAATAACCAAGGCATTTATTTTGATGCTTTTCCAAATGGGTAATTGAGATATATTATATACATTTTATCTAGTACATATGCATTTTAAACTCAAAATATTTCAAGTAACATTTATGATCTGTACGTGTATTCATTTTTGTTATCACTTTTTGATATATATCAAACTGGACATATAGGAGTGTGGAATTTGTCTGGGAATGTTAGTGTGTGACAGTGAATCATACAGTAAGCTCTTGGAATTCCCAACTAAATGGTTCTTTTGATTTTAAATTTGTATTGCCACTTATTGAGTATGCACTATATAATGAAGTTATTGAAGGGTGTATATTACACAGATGTTTCATTCTATAGGGTTGAATTGAATACCTGTGCATCTTTCACTAGGAATACATATATTCTACAGATATTCTGACAATCAGAATTTCTAGAGCAAAGAAAAGGCAATTTAAGGAAATATAAACATTGGCTATAGTTCATCGGTGGTATTCATATTTGATATTTGTCACATTTTCTCATCCTTTACCATATCTATTATTATATACCCAATATGTAACACTAATCCTGATTGGTCAATACCTAGTCACGTGTTCCGAAATAGATTTACTATTTCCCTCGGAAAGTTATATTCCCTCAAATGTGACGTCAGCGGGAATATACATTTGAACTATTGCCCGCTGACGTCACAATTGCAACTTCTATTACCCTTGGAAACGTCTGCGCATCATCACTACGCAGACGAAAAACAGAAAAATGGAGGATGAGCACAAACACAAATCAACTCCGTTCACCATGACAGACGTGCGTGAACGATACAATATAAGCAACGTGTATAAAGTTCCCTAAGCTCAATACGTCTGTGTAATTTCAAGTGTTATTATAATCTATTCCGCGTGTTAAACGCGATTGAATTTGTCAAGTGAGAGTCTCCGAGGCAAAAATGTCTGTTGAGCATCTGATGACGTCACAGCTTATAATGCTAACAATGGACCCGGCACCCGGGGAGGGGGCTTTCTAAGCCTTTTTGGCCTTCGCAGAGGAAACGGGACAAGAGTCAGTATAGGGTATATAATAAAACAAATAGTGACTGCCTAATTTCGAGCAATAGTGTAAATGATTTCCCCTTGGGAATATCCTCTACAATGTACTATTCCCTCAGCCTGCGGCTTCGGGAATAGTACATTGTAGAGGATATTCCCTCGGGGAAATAATTTACACTATTGCCCTCAATGGCAGTCACTATTTGTATAATGGTATACCCTCCACTCACTTTAAATGGGGTGCTATTGGGTAAAAAGCTGCCTGGCCCTATATGCCAATTATAAAATTCATATTTTAATTACATTTCCTTATTAAAGGTTTTCCATTTGTCATACATCACCTTGTCACATGTGGTTACCACAAGTACTTGATTTAATCATGGTCCAGTCTTGCATCTTGATAAAAGGTTTTATTTGTTCAACGGCAAAGTGGTAATTAATCAAAAAGAGCCGATTCCATATTAGAAATATTGGAGATTACTATTTATAGGAGATTTTAATATAGGCAATAATAATCCACATTTATTGATTGGCTATTCAGGATAGTGGATTATCAAAATGGATCAGAATATTGCTTTAACTATGGAGATCAATGGAACCATTGGTATGGGAGAGGGGTACTAACAATATGATATTTTCTGTGCATGTTTTGCAGGTGAAGCATGGGACAGAGCACAGAAACTACAAGAAAAGATGAGAACAAACCTGTCCATGGCCAAAGACAGACTGGAGGTCTTAGGTAGGTCATCCGCTGTTGTTGTTGATAGTACCCCCCCCCCCACTGTCTACCTATTCAACCTGAATTCAATAGGGAGATGGGGGATGGGAGCATAATAGCTTTGAATATTTTACATATTGTACAATGTAAATTCTGGGGGCCTTTATTTTTCCCCATTTGCCACTTTTTAATTTCTGTAATCCTTTTGTACACAAATATCTAGAAGCTTGTATTCGGGAAATCAACTTTGGGCTAGCAGCTACCAAGTTGATTTGATTGCAGTTTTATGGTTAAATATTGAATGCACCTGCCCTGTATCCCGTAAACTGATTCGCTGATTGACGGGTTACTTTATGAAAATTAAAATAGGTTAATCAGTAGCCGGCAGCCGAAAGTTGCATCCACGATTACAAGCTTATTTTTAACTGTTTGCAAGGAAAAGGTAACCTCCCATTTACGTATATCAGTAGAATTTAATCATCATCTGTAAATAAAGGATTATCAGGAATTGCAAAATTGGCAGTTAAGACTAGATCTGGGAGCACACTTGAGTTCATATTTTTTATTAGAGTATATATTTTTATACCCATATTGTACCTACTAATTGTTGTGCCCATAGTCTTGTTTTATATTCACTAGTTTTGTATTTTACTCACTCAATTACCTATTGTCTCTTGTTCTTCAATACAGTTTTATTAATTTTTGTACCTTTTTAGAAATAACCCCTAACCCATCCCTTAGTGGACCCCAAGCTTAAAATAACTTGTATATCAAGTAGAATGCTGACTGTCGTAATTTTATTTTCTACTCACTGCACACACATGACCCATTGTCTCCCATTGTTCTGAAGTTCAATTTTTATATAGTCCCCATTTTTGAAATAATCAGACCCTTGGTACCACTCTAAATTTGCCTTGAAATATCTAGATATAATCTAATGGTCTAAAAGCTGGAAACTGTATTGAGAAAACCAAATAATTGGTGTTCTGTGGCCACAAACCAACGGAGCATTTTATCCCCAATCTCATCTATCTAGTACATACAAATGGGATGATATTAACTTCATATTACAGTTATTGAGTAGCGTTATGAGTGTTTGGTTCTATTACAGTCTAGATTGCTTGTAAGAGATATATCAATAAGATCATTTCTGGAGAGTCTAACACTGCAGCTGACAGCCTGTCTCTGGCCTGCTTCATGCTGTATTGAACAATCAATGTTGTCTGACCAGAGTTGTTTAATGAGCAATTGCATGTGTTTATATAGTAGCTTAGCTTGTGAAGGATCACAATTGTTCGATGCATCAATTAAATGTAGTGGTGAAAGGTATGAGGAAATAGTGTTAAAAAATTTTTTGGTCTAACTTTCAATTTTTGAGCTAAAATCATATTAGGGAGAGGGACATCATGTATAATTCAAGGATATTGATATTCTGACTTTTTTCTCTTTTGACTTAGCTGTAGATATATTGTGCCGTTTCTGGTAATAATAACAGTAAATTTGATCTCAGAGATATTGAAAAATCTGTATCTTCTCTGTATTGTTCTTTTATATTGAAAAAGGAATGCTTTTCTTATTAATAACGCAATCACTGAGAAAGAATACAGATAAAGGATTGAATAGCTTTACTTATTGACATGGATATCATCATTCCTGCCAAGCAGATTAAGTTATTGGAGAAAATAACACTAATGGTACGATATCCACATATAACATGCATCATATTGAAACTAAGGCAGTGTGACCTCAGGTTAATGAATGAAGGAAGGTAATTGGATGTTTTTTTTGTTATCTTTAGCATCATTGGTTTCTTTTGAGTTGGGTGCGTGTATGTAGCATTTGGGATCAGAATAAAAAATGCAATATTGGATTTCCAAGATGTGTCTTAAAATCAATTATCACTATGTTAAGATGCACATTAACTATTTTAGATTGGAGTATTGAGTCCTTCTGAAATGTGATTCATTTTTTCAATAAGAAAATTAGGTTACTTGTGGTCTTTTTAAGAATTTGTAAAATAAAACAATTTTAGAATTTTTAGCTGGCATAGATATATGTTATTACATTGTACTACATCAGAGCATTCAAGAGAAATTCAAAATGTGTGGATGAAAAAGTTTGTGAGAAATTGTCACATGTGAATGGTTCTAATTTAAAAGCATGTAAAGTAGAACCTTTGTAAGTGGAACACTCTTGGGACCATTTAGGAGGTGTTCCAATTACGGAGGTTCATTAGCATGGAGTCAGCAGTTTGCTATCTAAACTGAGTGGTGAAACATATATCAGAATGATACCCCCATGAAAAGAGAAAAAATGGCATGCATTGAAGAATGAAAAACAATTGATGGTAAACTATTAGTTTTATCTCAGACACTCATCAGATGCCACTGATTGACTTTTAAAATACAAGTTCAATTTTAGGAATTTTTGAAGGAGCATCCCTCCAGATCCCTCACCCCTCCTTCATCATTCAATACAATCATAAACAAAGCTTCAACCCTAGACAAACCCCATCTTGATCCATCCAGGCATTTCATTTCCTTGAAACAAATGACAAATGACTAGTTCCTTGCTATGGCCCTTATTGGTATCAACTCTCAGTATTGCCTATTGGAGAGCACTGAAATGAAGATTGTTGGGGTAACCACAGAATGATGGGCATTGATCCATTCAGTTCATTCAATTAAGGTTACTACACTTCATATCCCTTGACAATTCCTATTTGTGTCATTCTATCTTCTCTGTTTTGGCTCAACACATAATTGCTTTCTTGTCAACTAAGATTTTTACACAGAAGTTATCACGCAATGTACCAGTATATGTGCTAGTGTCACACATTTCATCAAATCAGCTATTTACTAAAAATCACAGATGAATACAATTGAATTGAATTATTGTGTTTGATTGATGAATGATTATTTTTGAATAATGATTCAGGACCATCGAGGAAATGAATAGAGTATCTGTTCAATTAAGGATTTACTTTTAGCCTTGTTCGTTAGCTGAAGTATTGTTATTCTTGGGATGACACTTCCCCATAGTAATCCATCCTGAGGAATAGTAGTCCCTTATAATTGAGTTCTGACTCACATGGATGCTAATATGAGATTCATTGGGGTTATCACACTCTGGCAGTGATCAGGCAATTTTCTCCAAGATTATATCAGTGTTTATACTGGCTGTGATAGCATACAATACTATGAGTACAATAGCTCCTTAGCTGCAGATCAACTAGTTAAAAAATTAGAATTGTACCATGCATGGTATAGTATATGGTATATGTGTGCATCAAAGCATTTTAACTGCTCTACCTAAATATATTATCAAAGAGCTGAATAACCTAAATAGCTGAGAGTAGAATGACAACACTTTTAAAAAATTAGAACAACCATTGGCTTTCACCCACTTGAAAATGAGAAAAAATATGAATAAATTGCGCATTTTGGCCAAGCTTTGAAAATGAGATTTTGTAACCATTCATAGAAAAAATGATATGAAGACAACTGTTTAGTTATTACTTTAACTTTACCTTCTTTGATTATTTATAATGTATATAATAGAATTTGTTTATTTTTGTTTGTGTACATGTATATTATTTGGAGTATTTGTAGTTGTAGCTTTTTAGATTTCAGTTATTGCACGCTTTTTGATGTTGTATTTTAGAGAAAGCCGTATACGGCCAAGTGATTACAAACAGTGCCACCTATGTGCCAAATACAACTACAGAGGTGATTTATCCCCAACCCGTTGTCGTGAAACCAACTGCCACCAAGCCTCAAACACAGAAAAAGACTGTTTCAAATGGTGCAATACCTAAAACTACTGCTGGAAATAAACCTAAAAATACTGTAGTACCCAAAACAAGTGCTACAACAACCATTGTTCCTAAAAAGACAGTTACAATAAACAGTCCAAAGGCAGTAGGTGTAACAAGGCCTAGTTCAGGTAATGCTAGTGACCATTGACCATACACACTGTCACATCATATATCATCGTGTTACTTTTAAGAGTCTGTTCTCTACCAGGGATAAAATATTATGAACGGATAGAGATCAAAGAGGTTTGGTGTTAAAAGATAGCCGACCATAAGCATGCTGTCACTTCAAATATCATGGTAACACTTCAAAGATTTTCATGGGGATATCTCAAAAAATGTCCAAATAAGTTTATCATGTCCCCACAGGTGGCGATATATTGACATTTGGCATCTGTAACAAATGCCAGGTGGTGACACTTTGCGTGTTTAAATGCCTTGTTTCAGATGTACTGAAACATAATGTGGACAGAGCAACATGTGCTATTAATAGTGTAGAGATTGAAGCATGCTATTTATAAATCTCTGGGTGCTCATGCTGTCCCATCATTTATCATGGTAACTCATTCAATGAGTCAGGGAGGACACCTCAAGGATCTATTAATGTAACACCAGCTATATTCTAACATACGAGATTCTACAGGCAATATCCTAACTATACTCTTACAAATCTTCATTTATGTATTTAGGGCCTTCTTATTTGAGATTATATAATAATGATGGAAATAAGTTACTGAAACTGTATAATAATTTCCTATTAATTTCACACTTTCAATCGAAATGAGAGTTTGTCTGATCTCATATTTACATTAGTCTTAAATATTCTCATTGATGAAATAGAAAGAATCTAATATAGAGCAATGGTCATAGATAAACTAAAATCAACAATAATCAGGCAGTGGAAGTGAATTTCCTCATTTAATGAAGATTTACTTCCAATATAAGGTAAAATAAACTTGCAATGCGCCGGAAACAATCAGGATAAATATTGAAAATTATATGAAAAAGAATAGAGTTGAACCGTTTAATCATGCATGAAATATTTCATCTTGTCTGATAAAATATTGAGTGCTATGTAATGTTCTTTTTGCCTATGTTTTATTGATTTTCACATGAATCATGTTCCCTTAAGGACTTTATTGTCGTTAATTACGATCCAAGGTTAGCAGTTCAACATCAAAAAGTATAATTTGGAAGAAATCCCATTGATAAAATCAAATGTTGTCGTAATGTTGATAATTCTGGTTATTAATTTTAGTTCTCAATATTTGCTGAGTGTATTGTGTTCAAAAATTATCATCAAGTTTTCTTCTTACATGTCTTATACTTTTGCCTATTTCAGAATATTTTCACCTTAAATTATAAATTTATATGGTTAAGTAATTATAGAAGTTGATGATACACACAACAGTAGTTCCTTATAGTGGAACACTAGGGAATGAATATCAGTCAGATCAGAACCCTTGATAATATGTCATTAAACCATTGATAACATACAACATTATGCCCCTCATGTTCCTCATGAAAATACTTAAAAAATTTCCTTAATAAAGTTGATACTAAATCCCTCCCAGTAAATAACCTCTAATTACACGTACTCCAATTTATTTCCAGCCAATACTAAGCCATTGAGTGCCATCCGTAAGCCAATGTTGACTCACACTAAGAGTAGTACGCTTCCTAGAACCTTCGGTGTCAACAGGCCCAAAAGTCCCCCTAGGAGCCCCGCTACTTCTCCCCTGCCAAGGAGGCGCCGTGGGGGCAGTACAAGTAATCTTGGCCCTCGTCAGAACTCTCATCCAAGTCTGTCTAATATTGATCAGGTGAGTTTGGTTCCCTATTTGATTCTTATTTATTGTACCTTGAAAGCTGTACTGTTGTCTTGCGCTCCTGGGTCATCAAAATTTAAGGAAAACCACTCATCCGCTCAGCTTGAAATTCACAGATGCAAGAGCAGAATAGTGCCAAGATCTGATTATATCTAATATATTTTTATACTGACTCAGCTGATCTGAATGAAGGATGTGCAAGAAGTCATTATGAAATGTAAATACAGATGGGTTTTTCTGATTTTGCTGCTATCACAAGGCACATCTGTGATTTCTTTGTCAATTGAACAGAACATATTTGTATAGTCGTAACCAATAATTGAATTACATTATCCATGGCTTTCCAAAGATGAAGTTTTTACACACCATGATGCAGGGAGAATATTGAGATGATATAAACTTTCAATATTCCATCGCAAATTATAACATAACTTATATGTTAACATCCCATCATAGAATACAAAGAGGATCACAGGGTTAAACAGAAAATTTAGATTTATTATAACATCACTTAATTTTGGGGGTGATCATAAATATTTCTGCTCATAATTCAAGTTATTGTTAAATTTCATTGTAAGTAATGTCATCTTAAATAATCTTGTCCATTGAAGTATAGAACCCTCTTAACATGTCACACAGCTGCTGGAATCCCCCATCATCTACTCATTTGGGGTCACATATCAGTCTGTTTGGCAAAGTCATTCTTAATTGAAGTTTTTAATATAAAAATGTGTTGTATTGTGCTTTAGAACAAGAGAGGTACACCTCCAGCCAAAAGAAGGGTACAGAATGCCAACTTCAAAAATGTTGACAAGAAACTTGCACATCTTATTTTGGACGAGATTGTAGATTCTGGTCCCCCAGTCACATTTGATGACATATGTAAGTACTGAGGGAGTATATCGATGTTCCAAGATGCTAATTACTTGCAATTGTATGATTGATTATGTTAGTGGAGTGCATTTGTTTGATTGATGTTCAAAAATGTAAAATCCATTAATTGCTACCTTTAATTTAGAGGTGGTAGGATGTAACGATGTAACATCCTTCATCAAGTTAAAAATAAAGTTTATTTTAGTGAAATATGTGTAAAAGTGATTTAACTTTACTTAAAATATATAGTCCTTTGAAATATCTACATCAAACACTAACAAGCATCTAGTAGCAAGCAACAAGCAACTTTTGACTGGATTTCTTTTCTTTGCTGCAGCTGGTCAAAATATAGGTAAACAGGCATTACAGGAAATTGTGATACTGCCAGCCCTTAGACCAGAACTATTTACTGGGCTCCGGGCTCCTGCTAGAGGTCTGCTGTTATTTGGTCCTCCAGGAAATGGTAAAACAATGCTGGTATGTATACTGTATATAAAATAATTTTTCAATCTTCATTGTATATTAAGTGAATGTATAAAAGAAGTATGGACCCTAAACATGCTCTTCAGGTTGCTTTGTAACAAATAAACTGTTTAAGGTTACAGTTTAATGGTAAAGAAAACACTGTTTATCCAAATATTCAAATATGACAAATGTGTCTTAGCCAATCAGCTTAAAGTATTTCAGTGTATTAGTTGAAGGTATATGACCAACTGAGCAGAAACATTATTTTACAGTGCGTTATGCTTTGATAATGAACTTGGCAGTGCCATTATTGGAAAATACTTCAAATCCTACAAATTCCACAAAATAAATTTCTATATTCTTTATTGCATCTAACATGATATTGTTCATCATGTGGCTTGTTCTTATTATTTTCAGGCAAAAGCAGTAGCTAATGAGTCCAATGCCACATTCTTCAGTATAAGTGCAGCTAGTCTAACCTCCAAATATGTAAGTACATGCGCTATACAGGGACTTAAGTTTCAATAAACCTATAAAGGTACAATATTGTTTTCAGTTTGGTAGTTGGGTGACTGGATGGACAACTGGCCTTGATGTGTCACTTTTGTAGTCTGCACATTTCCAGAAAAACTGCTTGACAGATTTTTATGAAATTTTTGTAATATCTAAAGTTGGCTTAATTTTATGCATGCTATGTATATTTTCAGATGGCCTTTTTATGTCACCACCAAAAGTGGACGGTATTTGCTGTTTATTGTCTGTAACGAATGCCAGGTGGTGACATTTTGCATGTTAATGCCTTGTTTTATATTCCTAGTACTAACAATTTGTTCTTGTTTTAGGTTGGGGAGGGTGAAAAGTTAGTGAGGGCTTTGTTTGCAGTTGCCAGGGAGTTACAACCTGCTATAATATTTATAGGTAGGTAGATCTGGCCACAGATTGTGGTGTAATTTAAAGAAATATCTGTATTTTAGAATAAAATGACTGTTTAAAACATGGTTAAACTTAAACATATGTGTATTACAAAAGAAAGAGTCACCAGTTGCTTCCTATAAAAATCAGGATAAATCTATATTGAATGGGATATTGAATATCTGATTTAGATGAAGTTGACTCTCTGCTGTGTGAGAGAAGGGAAGGAGAGCATGAAGCCAGTAGGAGACTTAAGACAGAGTTCCTCCTAGAGTTTGATGGGGTAGGAATTGTTCAAAATCTTTATTCTAAAAATGTGTCTAGAAAATTTAATGTTTTTGATCGCAAGAAAAGCTGAGGACACTGCATTCCTTATTTCCAAAAGCACGGTGACCAAGAGTTAACAGTGCAAATCGGCCCGGTCGTGTTTTTTTAAACTCTTTAGTCGTGTTTTGTAAGAACATGGGATGCGACATTCGATAGAATGGAGCAAAATGGTAAGAATATTCTATATTTTACAAACTTACATATCTTGACTTCTATCTAAGATGTTCTTCTTCATACCCACGAATCTATTTTGGGGATAAATCCATCATACTTCATATCAATCGCAATTATATACCAAAAGTGCCAGAAATATGTACTTAATTTGCATTTAGTGTTATTTAATCAAGTTTAAACAGACAATCCATTCAACAACGTGGAATAATATTCACTACTCTAAAGATTGTGTAAATATTTTTACTGTATTTATCTTAAAATTGCCATAAATGACCGTAAATGTAGAAAGTGGAGTTAACTATGGAGAAGGGACAATATAACGTCATGGACGTGTCTTATAATAAGCATGTTAACGTTTTGGAATTGTAAAGATAACGTTTTAGACGTGATAAAGTTAACGACTTTGAATTGTCTTGTAATATTGTTCACATTGACCATGTTTTGTTGCTTAATAATTTGTCTGTGCTTCTGAAAATAATCGTATTAGTACTTTGAAGATAAGTGTTTGTACTACATGACTATTCACATATTTTGTAATTTCAGTTCCTCGGAATAAGTGCCACGCGTGCTCTTTCAAAAGCGCTCATAAGAACACTTTCCTTGAACATTATGAGAAGGTTCATCCGACTGATCTGTTCAGAATTGACATCCCTATCCACGATCTAGTACTAAAATAAATTGAAAAACTAAATTCTTACTATCTCGTATTTCTGCTAGAAGTTAAAACTCAAAAAGTATCTTCTTAATCAATAATATTATTTATAGTTTATGTTGGTTTTATAATAATTTGCGGGCCTAGTGCGACACACACTATTAACCAGAAACAAATAGTATGCATTATTACACAAGCAGATCCCCACCATCTGTTCATGTATTAGTATAAAACACGGGAATATACATTATGTGTCACCCGTTTATTGTAATTTGTAGTCAAGATATGAATAAATAAGAATAAATAAAAAAGACAGATATATGATTTAACAAGATCAACAGATGTTGTAATTTAATTCGCTAGAAAACTATGTTAAAGTACAGTTCATAGATCACTCATAGAACGATAGCAGCATATGTAGCGTTTTTTACCTATTGTAATTTGAAAATTAAAATTGAAATTGTATTGCATTGTGTGAGGCGAATTAGGGAATAATATCGAATCAAATTGTTAAAAATCCTGAGGCAAACCTAATAGATATTGAGCATACGATTTTAATAACGGTGGAGTTATTCCTTACATTAGGTGATCATATATATGCATTTACATGTAGTGCATCACAAACTAAATATTTCCTCTTATTTTAAATAAATTTATTTACGTTCATAACAGGGAAAGTTGAGTTTAAGGCCAATAGGGACGTTTTAAAACGTATTTGAGGCAAATTCAAAAATAGCAACGAGCCATTTAATGAGCGCCAGGGCAATTAAAAAATAATATGACTGGTAAAATTTTCAAAATGACGAGCGACGAGGCAAAGCTCGCTTGCATTAACCATGCGTGTCTGATTCTAACCATTTTGATTTAAGTATCAAATTCGGTAGAATCTTGACATATTATGTCGTACATTTGATTATTGTTAATCATTTATAATTAAGATAGTGTCACTCAGACAACAACTTCTTCCACATTGTGATCATTTTTTGGGAAATACATAATGTTAATTGTGCTGTTTCCCACTTCCAAATCGTTAAACCTTAATGTCTCTACATGTCTAGAACGTTTCACTAACAGGTCAACATCATTAACCGCAATCTTTTCAACACGTCTAAAGAGTTTAATCTAAAAAATATTATTCGGTCAATTGCTACTTATTTAAGCTCTTCTAACATTTGATTTTCGCACATATTGTGAATGCTTTCCTTATGAAACGATGTATTCATTGAATATAAGTCAGGCAAGTGATTTTCAGGCAAAAATATGTATAACACTGACAGAATTGCTCATTTCCCGATATAACAAGACTATAGCATACGATTCGTGCAAATAACACGTTTACGAATACCTGAAGTTAAGATATATAGTATGGAAAGCAATATAAATTACTTACTTTTACATAAAGTCAAGTGACAGCAATTTCATGACCAAATCTATCAACCTACCTCTCAAATTTTCAAAAAAACACGGCTAAAGAGTTTAAAAAAACACGACCGGGCCGATTTGCACTGTTAACTCTTGGTCACCGTGAAAAGTATTATTGAAATCCTTTATCTTGATTTTAGATTCAGAAAATTTACTAATTGCACAAGATATTTAGATCATTCTTGTGAAATATGAAAATAGAGCAGTATTTTAAAATTATGTGAACTGCATTTTTATGTCACCACCAAAAGTGGTGACATATTGTTATGGTCTCCGTTTTTTTTATGTCACCACCAAAAGTGGTGACATATTGTTATGGTTGGTGGTTGGCGTCCGGCGTCCGGCGTCTGGCGTCCGGCGTCTGTAACAATTTCTTACAACTTCCTATAACTTAACAAATACTGTTTAGACTGACTTCAATTTTTTCTAAATCATCTACATGTTCTCAGAAGTTCAAATCTGACTTTAGATTTGACATTTGACCTTCAATGACCTTCTCAAGGTCAAAAAGGTCTTTTTTCAACTTGCTTCACATTGACTAAATTTTTTTTCAAAATCATCTACATGTTCTCAGAAATTCAAATCTGACTTTAGATTTGACTTTAGATTTGAAATTTGACCTTCAAATCTGACTTTAGATTTGACATTTGACCTTCAATGACCTTCTCAAGGTCAAAAAAGGTCAAAAAGGTCTGTTTTCAACTTGCTTCAAATTGACTAAATTTTTTTTTCAAAATCATCTACGTGTTTTCAGAAATTCAAATCTGACTTAAGATTTGACTTAAGATTTGACATTTGACCTTCAATGACCTTCTCAATGTCAAAAAAGGTCAAAAAGGTCTATTTTCAACTTGCTTCAAATTGAATAAAAAAATTTTTCAAAATCATCTACGTGTTCTCAGAAATTCAAATCTGACTTTAGATTTGACTTAAGATTTGACAATTGACCTTCAATGACCTTTTCAAAGTCAAAAAAGGTCAAAAAGGTCTTTTTTCAACTTGCTCCAAATTGACTAAATTTTTTTTTCAAAATCATCTACATGTTCTCAGAAATTCAAATCTGACTTTAGATTTGACATTTGACCTTCAATGACCTTCTCAATGTCAAAAAAGGTCAAAAAGGTATTTTTTCATCTTGCTTCAAATTGACTAAGTTTTTTTTCAAAATCATCTACATGTTCTCAGAAATTCAAATATGACTTTAGATTTGACTTTAGATTTGACATTTGACCTTCAATGACCTTCTCAAGGTCAAAAAAGGTCAAAAAGGTCTTTTTTCAACTTGCTTCAAATTGACTAATTTTTTTTTTCAATATCATCTACATGTTCTCAGAAATTCAAATCTGACTTTAGATTTATCATTTGACCTTTAATGACCTTCTCAAGGTCAAAAAAGGTATGTTTTCAACTTGCTTCAAATTGACCTAATTTTTTTTTCAAAATCATCTACATCTTTTCAGAAGTTCAAATCTGACTTTACAAGTTCTCAGAAGTTCAAATCTGACTTTAGATTTGACCTTTGACCTTCAATGACCTTCTCAAGGTCAAAAAGGTCTTTTTTCAACTTGCTTCAAATTGACTAATTTTTTTTTCAAAATCATCTACATGTTCTCAGAAGTTCTTCTTAAGGTCAAAAGGTATTTTCCAACTTGCTTTAAATTGACCAAATTGTTTAAGGTGGTGACATTTTGTCATGTTAATGCCTTGTAATATCAATTGTTTGATTGAAGGTCCACAGTGGAGGGGAAGAGAGAATCCTCATCATGGGAGCCACCAATAGGCCACAGGAACTGGATGACGCTGTACTTAGGTATGTATTATGGTTTCCATGGTAGAGAACTTCATTATTCTGACCTATTTAGATAAATGCTTAGTTGCAATTTGATACAAACTTGCGGTGTGAGCACAGGGGCCAATTTTTACCATATTAAAATTTTTGATTATTTTCATAATTATGCAACTTTTTCATAACAGGATTATTTACAAATGTAAAAATATCTCTGATGAAGTAGAAATCATTTAATGATTGCAGGAGGTTTGCCAAGCGTATCTATTTGACCATATACATGAAATATAGAAATCATTTAATGATTGCAGGAGGTTTGCCAAGCGTATTTATGTGACAATGCCTGAAAAGGAAACCAGGATCCACCTGCTGTCAAAGCTGCTCACTAAACAACACAGTCCATTATCTAAATCTGAGGTTGATCAATTAGCAGGGTGAGTAAACAATGGGAACAGAGGGTGCTGTATTTGATGTAGATATATGCTTTCTTCTGCAACTTTTTCAATTCTACGGAAATTGTAATTTTATGGGTCCGTAACTTTACAGAGTTTGGAGGAATAGACCCCAGGTTCTTTTATTTGATTTCAGGGCATGGTGGAGCATAAACATTTAATGAATCAAACAGAATCAAAGTATTGGCCTGATCTTGATAAAGTGTGTACATTTACATTGTTTTGTATATTTCAGGCTAACAGACGGCTACTCAGGAAGTGACCTCACATCTCTTGCTAAAGATGCTGCCTTGGGGCCCATTCGAGGTCAGTCTCCTATATGTTCATATTATAAGACTACATAATAGGGTTTGGGTGTTACATTTTATCACATGCATAGGTCATAGTTGTGGCTAAATGTATTATAATTTATAATGAGTGTATATTTATAACAGTGTTATGGAAAAACTACTATTTAAAAAAATGAGACAGCAGCACATGTTTTAAAAAAACATTCAATTTTTTTGGCGTTGGTTTCATGTTGACATCTGGCTTCTGTAACATGGTGTCTGTAACAAATGGCAGGCAGTGACGTGACATTTTGCATGTCGATGCCTTATTTATTTTTAAATGAGGTTTGATCACCAGAGACAAAATGTATATACTGAGTTTTTTCAATTGAAAACAAGGGCTTTCTTTGTATAAGAGATAAAATGTTAGAACTGAAACAGAAGTAATACAAAAGAGGTAACACGTATGTTATCTTCTGTTATGATTGTAAAAATTTTTGCTTTGTTTTTATTTCAGAACTCGATCCAGATCAGGTGCGACAAATGGACGCCAAAAATATCAGGAACATTCGTTTGTCCGACTTTGTTGATTCCGTTAGGAAAATACGACGCAGTGTACCACATGACACTTTAGAAAAATATGAAAAATGGAATCAAGAGTATGGAGATATCACAACATAGAGCTGATAACATCACAACATAGATATAGTGACATCACATCAAATAGTCAGTGACATCATAATAGAGTTTGATGACATCACAAAACCTGGTGATCTCACATCGAGATACCCCTTGTATTAATGTATCTGATGTTTAGATGACTCTACTTCCAAGCATTCAACCAATACAAGGACATCTTTGAATTGTTTCAACAACATTCCAATTCATCTCAATACACAAATCAGGTTTCAAAGGAAAATACAATATTATAGAGGCTCTATACCATAGGATAGCTTTGGCTAAGTATCCATAATAATGAAGATAGTTATATGCTAGTATAGTTGAAAAAATGATATCAAAGTCATTGCTCCTGGATGAGGGGAGAATATGGTTGTTAAGAGACATCTTTTACACAATGATTTTTGTGAAACTGAAGGTATTCACTTAAAATAATTAAAGATGGAATCAAAAAAGTTATTTTGCTAACAGTTTTATGCATATTAAATCAGAATGAATAAACATCAACATGTTATTATTACTTATTGCCATCAACCAATAAAAATTATTCAGAATGAAATATTTCATAAGTGAAACAATTCTTGCTACACTTAACTACAGTTTCACTTTTAATTTAATAATGTCCCTGATTTGTCAAATTTAACTTTTAGTTTGAGACAGAGGAGATTTCATGTAGATGTTTACCTTTTATCTTATAATATTATGAATTATTATATCACTGTCATATTCCCCACTCTCTCATTGGTTTACACATTACATGAATCATAAAAATAAGAAGACGTATTCAATGGCCAAGCCTGTGACGTCAGCAAAAAAGTGTATTCACCAAGTGTATTTACCAGGTGTGTTGTTTCTTCCAGTGTATATCTGAAAATGATACGAAAGAATCTAATCATTCTTGTTCTTATAAGACATTCCCAACAGTAAGAGAGTGGTGAATATAATAGTCAATAATAAAACAAATATTTCATACTATTTTCTGTGAGTACCTGTTGCACCTTCAATGATTCCGCAATAGTATGAAATATTTGTATATTACTCACTTGTCGTTCTGACCTATACTACATGTATGTTAACTTGAAGTAAAGATTCACTTTTCTTCTCTTTTCTCTATTAAAAGGTCATAGAATATCAAAAACTTTTTTTAAATTGTGTGTGTGTCATGTTAGTAACTGCAATATTAGCATTACATTGGTTTGTCAAATCTATGTTTAGTTATCAGTAGTAGCTTTTGTATTTTTGTAATTTATTTACATGTAATTTTGGAGATTATTTCATATTTGATAATAACTATTTATTGCCATCTAATAAAAATCATACATTTACACTAAAACACATTTTATTGGTAAATCTTTTGCTTAGAGGTTTAGAATTGCTGTAGTGATATTAAACTTTCCTCAATTATAGTTTTCTGAGATTTTGGCAGACATTTTAATAACTATATGTTAGTCTGCTTTTTCTAGGCCGGAGGCCCCAAAAGTGTCAATTTTTAACAAAAGTGAGTGTAGCGTTACTCAGGCTCGTAGCCAGGTCATAGTGGAGGGAGCAGCCCCCTGGCCACAAATTCTTTCAAAATCATGCAGTTTTTCACAATTCAGAGCACCTTTTGCATAATTTCTTTAACTGTCACCCTCCCTTCTTGACAAAAAAACGCCTCCACCCCACAGGCTAGGGGCCTGCAACTCTATATCAGAACCCATATTATTATACTATATTATGATGACTTGTGTAGAGACCATGTATAACAGTTGGCTGTTACAAGTGAAGAAACTTGAAGGTACACCTATAAGTCAATGCATTTGAATTTTATTTGGATGCTATGCCATGGATTGGGTATGAGCAAAGTGCTTGTGAATTACTATTTAAGGTCAATTTGTTGTTTCCCTTTGTGGCGATAATTTTGTTAGCAGCAAAAAATTTCAGAATTTTCAAAACTAAATCGAAAACCAAACTTTTCTTTTGCAATATTGGGAGCATTTTGATCAGTTTGTTGAGTTTTCATGTTGCTCATGAATTTGGGGCATCTCTTTCCACATTGTTTATTCAACAGTCCATTCTTTCTGCCCACTTACGAAATGTAAGTTAAATTGATTTGATACTGTTAGTATTTTTTGCCTGTTATATTCATTGGTGCTTTGCTGATTTAAAAGATAGCAGTACCATCAATTTATAATAAATACAAATTGATCACACTGCCATCTTTTGGTTGTAACTATACCTTATGTTTTGTATGTGATATGTTTGTTTTGTACCTGAATGTATTTTCCAGAGATTGATCCCATGCTCAGCACTGGCAAATGTAATCTCACACACATCCAGCAGTCTATTCTTTCTGCCCACTCATGAAATGTAAGTTAGATTGATTTGATACTTTTATAGAAGGCTTCATCCCAGGACTTTAACTACATGTACATGGTTTAAATGTTTTAGAAATCTTGAACAAAAAGTAAAATTCATAGTTGGCATGGGAATGTCATAATTTGAATAAAAATTATTTTACGTTACAATTTTTCAAAACTCAAGCCTCATCATATTGTTGGGTTAAATAATACATTTTTAGGATCTTGGATCCAAAACCATAAAGAATACTTTCTTTTTAACATATATGATTCATTGCTATTGTGTTTTTTATGCCTAATAGGATAAAGACCTTAGGATCTGCTATAGGACGCCAAACAACTTGGAAACGGGATCCTGTGTTTAGAATGTCCAACATATCTCAATATTATTCATCCTGGATGTGGCTAAGAGCGATGTGCACGATGAGTCTTATCTGTACATTTCAGGTAAGTGGTAATTGCAAAAAAGATTAATGTGAGCTTTATCTCTATTTATGGGCCGAAATAGTCCAATGTGACATTATTTCTCAAAGATTCTGACATGCAGTGGGCGTATCATTTGTCCATGACAGTAACTTATATTTGAAGTCGTATAATGCAAATGATATGCCAATTGTTTGGGTGGGTTATTTCTTAAGTATAAGGAAACATCTGAGTTGAAAATAAGATTGCATTATATTTATGAAAAATAACTTGATCCTCCATAGGAGACAAATATTCCAATCCCATCCCTTGAAAGGCAGACCCACAAGTGGAGTGAATATAAAAGCCATTTGTGTAAAACCAGTTAAAAGATGGCAGTGTAATCAATTTACAATCACAACTCTGCCATCTTTTTATCAACTCTGTATCCATGGTTGTAAATATTCTTTGTGACAAAGTTTGAATTATAGTATTGCCCCTTTCCAGAATAACCATTTACTATACCCTGTCCTCGAGTCACTGAGCTGGGTCGCTGTGTCACTTTACACTCCAAGCATCTACCAACTGATATTATGAGCATCATTAGCTAACACCAGAATGTCACAGTCTGACAACTATCCATGTTTAGCTACTTGTGACGTAATAAATCAATAAAGGTAAGTTGAAATGATTTGATACAATGTCACCACCAGAAGTGGTGACATATTGCTATAGTGGCAATTTTAAGTTCATCAAAAAGTGTACAGTATTTTTGTCAGGCGATGTTTCTCATTTTACTGTGAATATCAAGGATTCATTCAAATGATGAAATGGCATAGTTTTTAGCTCACATGGTGAGCTTTTGCAATCGCTCACTTGTCCGTCTGTCCGTCCGTCCGTCCGTCCGTCTGTCTGTCCGTCCGTCAACAATAGTGGCACGTTTTAAAACCTCTGTCGATAGGATTCCTGTTTTAAGTTATTTCTGTTCAACATCAATACAGAAAACTCCCCTATGACTCCTGGTTCAAAAGCTCGCCTATTTTCAAAATGGCCGCCATTTTTGTCTCGCGAAATTCACTTTTGACTGGCACGTTTTAAAACCTCTGTCGATAGGATTCCTGTTTTAAGTTATTTCTGTTCAACATCAATACAGAAAACTCCCCTATGACTCCTGGTTCAAAAGCTCGCCTATTTTCAAAATGGCCGCCATTTTTGTCTCGCGGAATTCACTTTTGACCCATTTCCTAGCTTTACAAATAATTTCAGGTGTCCTACATTGTAAAAATCTGTGTCAATGTACATGTAAAGAGTAGATATATGAAATAATTTTGTTACAAAAAATCAGCGAAAAATTATATCTATTTTATTTTTATTTTCAGCCATTTTAGTTAACATTGATTTGTCCATCTGACTTGTGAAATCCACTTTTCTGTCAACAACAGTGGCACGTTTTAAAAGCTCTGTCGATAGGATTCCTGTTTTAAGTTATTTCTGTTCAACATCAATACAGAAAACTCCCCTATGACTTCTGGCTCAAAAGCTCGCCTATTTTCAAAATGGCCGCCATTTTTGTCTCGCGAAATTCACTTTTGACCTATTTCCTAGCTTTACAAATAATTTCAAGTGTCCTACATTGTAAAAATCCATGTCAATGTAAAGAGTAGATGTATGAAATAATTTTGTTACGAAAAATCAGCAAAAAATTATATCCATTTTTTTTATTTTCAGCTATTTTAGTTAACATTGATTTGTCCATCTGTCTCGCAAAATCCACTTTTGGACCATTTGCCTTAAACCCTCTGTCGATAGGATTCCTGTTTTAAGTTAATTTTGTTCAACATCAATACAAAAAACTCTCCTATGACTCTTGGTTCAAAAGCTCGCCTATTTTCAAAATGGTCACCATTCTTGTCTTGCGAAATTCACTTTTGGCCCATTTCCTAGCTTTACAAATAATTTCAGCTGTGCTGCATTGTAAAAAGCCATGTCACTGTAAAGAGTAGTTGTATGAAATAATTTTGTTACAAAAAATCGGCAAAATATTATATCAGTTTTTATTTTCAGCCATATTAGTTAACATTGCTTCGTCCATCTGTCTCTCAGTCAGTCCAAAAAGTGGCAAGTTTTAAACCTCTGTCAACACTTTTTAAATCCTCTGTATAAGGATTCCCGAATTAAAATAATTTTGTTCAACATCAATAAAGAAAAAAAACATGTGACTCCTGCTTCAAAATCTCGCCTAATTTCAAAATGGCCCCCATTTTTGTCTCGGGAAATTCACTTTTGGCCCATTTCCTAGCTTTACAAATAAGTTCAGGTGTCCTGCATTGTAAAAAGCCATGTCTTTGTAAAGAGTAGTTGTATGAAATAATTTTGTCACAAAATTATACCCGTCTTTTTTATTTTCACCTTTGAGCAACACCATGTGAGCCCAGTACCCACGGTACTAATTTTTTTTTCTTACAATAGAAAGTAAGAAGTATGTATTTGAAAAGGATATCCCTCCACTAAAAACCTCGACCTCTGCCTGGGTCTCAGCCTACATTGTTAATCAATTTTATATTTGTTCTACAACATGCATTGTAATGGCTTCAATATTAATCGAATGTCCCTTGGTGTTACGGTCTTGGATTGTGATATTGGTATTTCAATGGAGGGGGAAGGGGTACCAGACATTGTTTCTTTTCACATTGGATTTTGATTCGGGGGGTGGGGGTTGTTTTCCCATTGACTTGTATGCAATGTATACTGTATATTAATCAAATGCATGAGTTTGTTTCTATTTCCTAATAATTGGTTACTTCTAGATTGAGTACAAATAGATGCTTAATATGGTGTTTGTGTGGTGCAAAATAGTTTAATTCTTGATTTGTCAATTATTTCAATTGGAGTTATATCTAACTCACATAGCATATGACTTGTTGACTTGCTCATTGAAGTTAAATCTTAAAATTGTGATCCTTCAAAGAGAAAATCAACTTGAGTAGATTTTTTAAAGCTGGAAAGAAATTGAAGTTAATAGCAAATTGTACACAGTATTTGAATGTGAGTCCTCTGTGCATTTGAATGTGCAAAATCTTCTAAAGAAACTTTATTTAAAACAGGATTTATAGCCAACAACCCTAACATGACATGTCTTCCATCCACATGGGTATGGGATCCCCCACCAACCACGACACCATTTAATGCCACACTTCCGAGACTCTTTTGTGCACAGACATGGCATAACAGTGAAAAGGCCAATGACAGCTGTTTTATATACAGCACAAGTTCCACCACAGGTTACCGACTTTGCTCCTTCGGCAATGTCTCTTTCACATTCACATGTGTGTAGTAACTTATTCAGCCCATCACATTGCACACAATTGTCATGCTTTAAGCACACATCGTCTAGTGCATCTATAGGTGGAAGTGCTGCCCTATAAAATTAAATAAAAGGTGAGTTGAATGTTACTGTAACACAATTAGTATTGCCACAATTATCTCTTCATAACATAAACTTGACCACCCAAAGTGATAAGATTTCTCGTCACCTTACAAATGACCTTGAAGCACAGAATGACAAGAAAAATGTCACAAAAGTTTTCACTAAAATTACTCTAATTTAGACAATTTGTATCCATTTTACACAAAAATGTCTTGAAATATATCGAAATGATCTCTGCTGACTAATTTTACGAATTTGAGAATCACCTGTATAATAATAATAGGATTTTATTAGTACTGATGCCCTTTTAGGGCCAAACTTACATCCAATATACAATTTTCAATAACAGTAAATATAGGCAATAAAGTAAAGAAAATAGGATTACATTCTTCAAATGACATATAAATGTTTCTTTGATATAAGAATCCTGTCTCTACCCATCATTAGATACTTGATCATGTCAGCAGATTCTTTTAATATGATCCCCTCACTCGTCTCTGGATTCAAACCAATTTTAGAGCCTGTGATTCAAGAGGTTAATCTATTCACAATCATACCTGCATTTTTGTTCAGCAAGCAATGGATTGTTGAAGTCACAGTCACAGTTTGCCACTTTTCCTATCCCTGTATTTTCTGCTCCACACCAATTTCCATAGTTTCCTAGGTCTTCTAGGCCTCTTTTCTCTCTGGATATTCCTTCAACCTGTGGGCAGTTACTGCTTAGAGTGGTATGCATAGAAATGCATTAAAGCATTGTTTTTGTACTCATGAATTACCAAGGTGCGAGTAGTAGTTATGAAGTTTTAATGATTTTATAACATGGGCTCTATGGGGAACCTTCCAAAAAGTCACATTTTTAAATGAAGAAATGCAAGGAGCTTATGCATCTCAAACTCACAAACTCATGCGCCGTAGCTAAGCATGTTCAGGGCTATAGACTGCTCGGCCAAATCAATAAACCCAAAAAAGGTTGTTTCTTCAGCCAATTTGACAAGGGAACGGTAAATGGGCAATAGGTAAATGGCAAGGGAATGGCATCGATGTGAAGCTCTTTTTTAATACAATTAGACAGTAGTTGATGTAGTTACTTGATTGCGGTATCACATGGCTTCACCTAGCCAACCCCCCCCCCCTTATTCCAATATTTTCTACCACTGCAAGAGTGACGATGATACCCTCTCAGTCACCTATACCAGGCCTGTCAACTGTCCCGCAATTTGCGTATATGTCACGCATTTGCTGAAGAATTTGAAGTCACGCCAGTTATTTTTGCGTGACAGAAAATGTCACGCAAATACGCATTTTACCTGGTAATTGTCAAGCAAAAATATTTCTGTAGAAAAAGTTCTAAAAAAGATCGTCTACACAGCAAAAATATGAACGCCGGAAAAAAATGTACGCATTTCGTTCGGACTTTTCACGCGAATTACGTATATGTCACGCATTCCGTTCGAAATTTTTTGGATCAAGGTGTCCACATTTGGACCAAGGTGTCCACATTTTGAGGGGAGGTGTTCAACATTTCCAAGTCACTCATGTTAGGTGTTCCCAAGTTGACAGGCCTGCCTATACTTAGAAGTATTCTAATTGAATAAAAACAAAACAAAAGAATTGATACCATTGTTTGAGCAGTTACATAGTACATACTCATACTAGCTTTTTCAGTGTCTATTTTATAAGTCTAGAGAGGTAAGTTGTTGAATAAAAGTATATCTAAAATCTTCCAGATAGTAGCTTTATGTCATTTTGACTTTGTTATAATCTCCTTCAAATTGTTTCACGTTATTAAAAAAAACTTAAAAATTACATGAAAGTATTCAAGTAGATCATTGAATATTAAGAGAACTTATTGTAATGTTACACAAAAGACAATAAATAACTAAAATCAATAAGAAGAGACCTTACCTATTAAATTAACTCTGCAAGTGCTAGTTGAGGCTGTGAATATTTATATCCTTATAAAATTTAAAAACTGACTTTATTTGCTCACATCACTATGTAAACTCCTATGATTAATACTTGTGATAACATCTTATATTGATGTTTAATTTGTTGTTTAATCCAATATCACAGAAAGTATCATTCAATATTATAACATCTGATCCGGACTCAAATATCATTAGAGAATGATACCCGATTAAACCAAAATATATTCCAGTTTAACCTGATATAATTTAAGTCAGGATCAGATTAAACAGTATTATACGCATATCATTTTCTATTATAACAGGTTTCAAAGTGGTATAATACAAATTATACATATCATTTTTTGTATAATACAAATTAAACTGGAATATACCGAGACCAAACAGATGATACTGTATTATACGGTTCAGAAATTAATGGCACTTTGTTTTCACAACGTCAGACCCTAATTAAACAAGCTAACGTAAATATTTACATAATAAGGTAATTCTAGAAGTTTTTTGAAACTCATGTTTGACCATTTGTCTCCGACTGAAATCCGATATTGTTTTTTTGGCAATCGCACCCCCCCCCCCAAGTTTGCTACGCCCCTGTACATGGCTAATAGGAGCACTATTACGCTACGTGCAGAGTCTAGTTATATACTACGACAAGACTCTCAACTCTCTTTTAAGAAGTGAAGTCGAACGAATGCAAAGGGTAGGGCACTATAGAAGAGGATCATACAAAAGCACGATCTATTTCACAACGCCTTTAATTTTTGCTCTTCAACTGTTGCCCTTTGTGCATTTAAAAAATAAAATATCTTAATCTAATTTGTTCAACCTTTCTTTTCGCTCAGTTCTGCAATATTACGTCCACATGTTATTTAGGCTTACATGCATGTCATTTGCGAAATAGCTGTAAGACATTATGAGAATCAATATGGGAATTTCCACGTAATATGTTGTTCACATGATTATATACACATATCTGCATAACAATCTGAGACAGAAGTCAAAATATTGTCCAATAAAGAATCTAACATTTAGTGATAACAAAAGGATTATTTGCTATATAGTTCTCTTTGTCTTAGTCTTTGTTTTCTTAACTGCGGAAGTCTACCAACATCACCTAGATTACATAAGAGATCATCTAACAGTCTAAAATTGCTTTTAATCGCAAGTTAAAGTATTCCGACCAAAAGTTGTAATTTGGGGGGGGGCGATGTTACATCACATAATTACAACGTTCATACATAAATATACAATAAGCATGTCGTATAAAAGCTAAAATTATAAATACTCATTTCAAAGTCATTCTATTCATGGAAGCGTCAAGTTATGAAAAACAATGCTAAACACTAAAATAAACAAATCGACTTGATTACTTTTGAAAACTTCTTGAGAGGTAATGGACAAATGTATTTTTCCATTTTTTTCGAACGAATGCAAAGGGTAGGGCACTATAGAAGAGGATCATACAAAAGCACGATCTATTTCACAACGCCTTTAATTTTTGCTCTTCAACTGTTGCCCTTTGTGCATTTAAAAAATAAAATATCTTAATCTAATTTGTTCAACCTTTCTTTTCGCTCAGTTCTGCAATATTACGTCCACATGTTATTTAGGCTTACATGCATGTCATTTGCGAAATAGCTGTAAGACATTATGAGAATCAATATGGGAATTTCCACGTAATATGTTGTTCACATGATTATATACACATATCTGCATAACAATCGGAGACAGAAGTCAAAATATTGTCCAATAAAGAATCTAACATTTAGTGATAACAAAAGGATTATTTGCTATATAGTTCTCTTTGTCTTAGTCTTTGTTTTCTTAACTGCGGAAGTCTACCAACATCACCTAGATTACATAAGAGATCATCTAACAGTCTAAAATTGCTTTTAATCGCAAGTTAACGTATTCCGACCAAAAGTTGTAATTTGGGGGGGGGGGCGATGTTACATCACATAACTACAACGTTCATATAGAAATGAATAAGCATGTCGTATAAAAGCTAAAATTATAAATACTCATTTCAAAGTCATTCTATTCATGGAAGCGTCAAGTTATGAAAAACAATGCTAAACACTAAAATAAACAAATCGACTTGATTACTTTTGAAAACTTCTTGAGAGGTAATGGACAAATGTATTTTTCTAACTCATTAGAACGTCTGTCTGATTGAAATACTATTTTTTAAATACAAACATAAATTAATAAATCTTGGTCAGAAGTCTGAACATTGTCAAACGAAATGATAAGAATCTACATTTAACATTAATGATTACAAAAGGATTAATTGCTATATAGTCTTTGTCTTAGTCTTTGTTTTTCTAACGGTGGAAGTGTACCAACATCACCTTGATTACAGAAGATCTAACAGTCTAAAATTGCTTTTAATTCCCGGGTTTTAATTACATTGTATGAATAGAGTTTTTTGCCTCTCTTTTCATTTTTAAACCGGTCTCTGTTTCCGTATTTAACAGTTTATTGTGATAAATTATTTCAGTTAATGTCGAAATCAAAACGATTTTCTACATTATAGTCCCCTCCTCTTGCACTGACTAAATATTAAAATAAGCCAGTCTGATTGCGAATTTACAAATCCTATAAAAGTAGCTTCAAACCGCCTTTTAATCAGAGAAAACAATAAGTTAATTCATCTGATTGCGAAAAAACGAATCAATCTAATTATCTGATCTCCATGCTATTTGATTCGTGCATTATAGCCAATCGGGCAAGGGTGAAATTATTTCATTTGAAAACAGAAATAAATATTATAACCCCTCTAGCATAACTGTTCGGGAGAAATTCATACAAAAATAAGGTACACAACTGATGAGGGATCGCACGCAATGCACGCACCCCTCTCCTCCTCCTCCGGGTTTGCCCACACACGACCATATTTGATAATTTTTTAAAGGAAAAAGCATTTCCCCCGGGAATATAGGAGTAGCGGTTGCCAGAAGTCGCACAGCTTGGGAGTCAGGGTATCCTGATCCATGCCTCATCGCCTGATTGGTCTGATATTTAGAGGGGGCGCAAAAATGATTAGGGGGGGGGGGGGGTAAACGTGGAAGTTGCCAAAATATCCGTGGGCGTATCCAGGGGGGGGGGTTGTGATGGATGCGATCGCACCCCCCCCCCCTTAACAATAAAAATAAAACCCTGAGAAAGAAGAAGAAAGGAGCTTTGAAATGGTGCTCAGGCCACAATCGTACCCTCCTGACTGAAAACTGAAATCTTTTTGGCGATCGCACCCCCTCCCCCCTGACTGAAAGCTGGCTACGCCCCTGATATCTGTTTTTGGTCATCAATAAAACTATATTTATATGGTGAGGATTTATGGGTTTTGATAACAATAGGCTTTATATATGTATAATTAATCCAAATTCATGTTGTATCATGTTGGCTATATCGTTTCAAGTGAAGAATTAAGAACTGAAATCGGGGTTGCCTTTGTTTGAGCAGAGACATATAAAATATATATGTTTTATATGTCTCTGGTTTGAGTCAGGGAACAAAATCTAATCAGACAGACGGATAAATTAATATTTGTTTTAATAATGAGTATTATAGGTTATAGGCAGGCCCGTAGCCAGGGGGGGGGGGTCGCAGGGTTCGGGCCAACCCCCCTGGCCAAAGATTCTTTCAAAATCATGCAGTTTTTCACCATTTTGAGCATTTCTCGTGTGATTTTAGCCATATCTGGACCCAAATTGTCAAATGTGAACCCCCTAGACATTTTTGAAAACTGCCCCCCCCCCCTTGGCAAATCATGGCTACGGGCCTGGGTTATAAGCAGTATCATGGGAACCAAGGAAATGTTTATTATTTTCTGTTTACTTCGGAATTCAGTTAACCATCTGTAGATTGAAAAACAAGGATCAATAAATACAACTACTCAAAATCAAACATTAGAAATCTATTTTTGACTGGACACATTTTTGTTCTCGAATGCCAACTTTGATTTGGATGATTTCAATCAAATAGGTAGGTGTGAATATTTTCGAAACAAATGCGTGATATATACACATATCACTGGCGGATTAGGGGGGGGGGGCCTGGGGGCCCGGCCCCCCCCCCTTGGGTGGGCCCAGAAAAAAAAAATTGGGCCCAAAAAAATTTTTGGGCCAAACAAGGCCTTCAGGCCCCAAAAAGTGGGCCTTTTTGGTCATTACTGGGCCTTTGAAGGCCTTATTTTTTAATTTCAGGCCAAATTTTGAAGAAAATGGGCCTCAATTGGGCCCACTTTTGCCCGGGCCCCCAGGCCCCCCCCCCCCTAATCCGCCAGTGATATGTGTATATATCACGCATTTGTTTCGAAAATATTCACGTTTTTTTCTCTGACCTAAAATTTGGGCCCCCCCCCCCCCTTGTTGGTTCCTGGATCCGCCCCTGCATATTTTGTACCAAATGTGTGACATAAACGGCAATCGCGTGCAAAGACCGAACGGAATGCGTTCGCTTTTTTTCGCCGTTCGGTATTTTACCGTGTCGGCATTTCACAAAAAAACGATTTTTAAAAATTTCAACAAAATCCGTGATTTGCGTGATATTTGATCATACACGCTAAATTGATGCGTGATTTCCATTTTTCCAGCAAATGCGTAACAATCACGCCTTATGCGTGAGGGTTGACAGGGCAGTTATTACATCAGAGACATATAAAACGTGACCTGATCGGGAGAGGATTCGGGTTGTACACAGTACACACATTGCTATCTCTTTATGCATGTTTAATTGCCAAATTACTATAAAAACAAGCTGGAGTAACATTAAGTATTTATTTAGTATTTTGTTATCACACATCAAAAGGCGCATTTGAAGTTCAGAAAATGCAAGAAGACTTGGATAGACATTATGTATTTATATATTTATATGTTATGAATTTATTTTGTATTCAATTCGAATTCTGTTGAGTTGGACTCCTTGAACATCCCCCCCCTTGGCTACGGGTATAAGTACCTTCGGCACAGGAGAGAATAATATTAGACTTCTGCAATGCAACTAATTAGAGAGACCTAAAATGAAAATAATGTAACAGTGGTCTACTTCGGGTAACTGTTCCTGTAAAAATTTACAATTGTAGTCCATCACAGAGTTCATTTATTTCACGAAAGCGTCAAAGGACATTGCCTCTAAACACTAAGATAAACAAATAATTAACTTCCGCAGAAACATCCTGTAGAGGAAAAAACAAATGGCTTTTCATAACGGATTAGAATAGCCAGTCTGTCTGATTGTATACATGTAATATATTAGATACATTTTAAATTAAATGAATTTTGACGGATTATGTGATTCCTGTGAAATGAAAAATAGTTTATTTTTCCTGGCTGTTTAATGAAAGCACAGTGTCTTTTGAACAGTGGCTCTACCTGGATGCATCTGTTAACATGGTTAATAAATGATACTATAAGCTTTATTGGATGTGAATTCACCCTTTCAAATTCAAATTCCAAATAAATAAAGCACACAATTTAAGTGTGACAAAAAAAGAGCAAAACTGAAAACCCGTTCACCTATAGTGCCCGACATTACGCTAATAAACAATTTCCACATGTTGAAATATATTGCTATTTGATTGAGTTCAAGACAAAACATTTTGGAATTGTTTCACATAATGTAATATTCCTCGGATTTGATGCATACACATGTTTCACAATCAGAGACAAGGGGTCTTATACGGGGTCTTACATTTGGAAAACCAATCTATAAGTAGTATTAGATTATCACAAAAGATAAATAACTTGTAAAACTGCGGTTAGGTAGCATCTTGATTACAGTAAAGACAGGTCATCTAGGAATTATTTCTGCCTCTAATTCCTTAAACCGCTTCGTTGAACAGTGCCAAAATATTTCAGTCAGATCCTAAAACAAAACTATTTTTATTTTTAATCCCCTCACCTTGTCAATGTCTATGCCTGCATCTGGTTTTGCCCACCATTGGTAGGGAGCCGATATACACATAGATTACTTACTTGCCATGGACAGGGGGGGGGGGGGCACACAGAAACGAACAATCTGGGGTCATAAAAGATAATTGGGGAAGGGGGAGGGGAGTTGGTGAATAGTGAAGTCCGGGAGCGAAGTTAAGGGGTACTGAAATCTTTCTTTTGATATTTAGTGCTTGAATGGAGACTCGTTTCCACTCCCCGCACTCTAGTAAAATTTAAATATTTGATCCAAAGGAGTTATTTTGTATCAAACTTGCATTCCGATTAATTAACACTCCCACGATTGTACCGCTTCACTATTGTCTAAGATAATTATAATGAATTCACGGGACACTATAGTCTTCCTTTTAAACTTTAGTGGTTGGATCAGAGACATAAAAACAATTATAAATATTTGATTTAGGGAGGTATTTGCAATCCAACTCTGATGATACAAGACTAGTCAGCCAAGACTAAATTATGAACTTATTTATCATTTAGACTATTGAGTTAATTAAATTATTATTCCATAGATATCGCATTTAATCCTGTCAACACAATCGTGGCATTAATTGGCATGATATTTAATCAGAAAGACGGTTTAAACAGTTGTTGATTAATGATTAAGTATTAAGTATTAATGATTACGTATTAGGAAAAATCCTAATTCAATGTTTTTGTTCTCTCGCAATAGCAAACCCCTCGCCGGGCAAGCATTCTTTAAAAACGTGAAGTTGAACAGTTTTGAAAATTGTCCATTTTGAACCATCGCCTTGTATATTTTTATAACTGCCCTTAAATCACGATAACCGTGATTCCCGAAAGCTGAGATAACTATGGCACACAAATACTAGTAGCCGTTATGGAAAATAAAAACACCGAATTTTGAAATGGGTTAAAATGTCGCAGTCTTACGTTGTCTCCGTTAACAATGTAGCTTTAATATTAAGACATATTGATTTCAATTAATAAAGTGCCAACATTTTTTTTTCATGGAGCGCATTGAAGCAATCCAATATTATAATAAAACCGCTAATAATCTAAATGGGCGCCCGTGTTTTTGCAAGCACGTTATAAATGTAAAACAAATATATCTTTCAACTGCTGCACTAATCACTTCTGGTGCCTTATTTTGAAAAATCATTTATATTAATTCATTACAACTTTCAAATGTCAAAACTTAATTTATCAATACCCGCTTTTATTAAAACACTCAATATGTCTATGTCAACAAGATAGTGTCAACATGTTGTGTCAACAACATGTAACCTAATGTAAACAAATTATACGTAAGAGCAGAGAAATGTATCATCCAGTATAATATGTTTTTCCCAGTTGAACCAGATGGAATATAACAGCTGATAACAGCTGATAACAAATTAAAACAAATTATACAAGTATCAGAGGAGAAACTCCAAAAAAGTCCGTATCATTCATTGTTATAATTATGTCTTATACATAAACCTATGATAACAGGTTAAAACGAATTAAAACAACTGATATGTATGTTTAATAGGTTTATGATACTGTATTAATCATGGGATTTTACATAGTGCATTATTTTCAATCAGCTATAACTCGAAAAGTAATGCAACAATTACATTGGTATTTTTGCTTGTTATTTGACATGTGTTTGCTCCCAAGATTTTCCATCAATGGGAAAGAAACGGATATGTCCATCATACAAGATCAAAATGTTGTTTATGATGGTCTCTTTGAAAAATAAAAGATTTATCAAGGAGTTTCACCATTAAGTGGCTTATCAGTTTTGAAAAGTGATATTTCGATGGCTTTTTATTTCAAGAAATAAGCATGATGAGGAATATTTTTGCTGATCTCAACTGAGATTTATTTTTACTGAAAATACAATTGTGAATAAATAAAAATAACTTTAGAACTATATTAACTATATTGATCATAGATATTAAATTCAACTAAGAGTAGCCTTAAAAAATATTTATATTTATTAAAAGAAATGTATATCATATACAGCTAGCAAGTGTTCCATTTAAAAACTAAAGATAAATTACTGTATAAGTGGTATTTAATCTGAGTGGTTAATTTGCTGAATGGTCAAATTTTATCATTTTCCTAATTTTAATTTTTCCCAATGACAAGAAACTTCCCATTGCATTACCTTATGAAGATAATATTTCCGACATTTAATTTTCCGAAACTGGCAGAAATTAGGCAATAGGCAAATTAAATGATTTGGCAAAATTACCACTTATACAGTATTGTACTTACCATTGAAGATGTAAAGAACAAGTATATGAGTATGCTGAGCTTAGTCTTCATCATGATGTTTGATCACTCTTCAGCTTTCAGGTGTGCTTTTCTAACTGATCTCATCAGTGACAGGCTTATATATGATGTTTGTATTAAAATGTTTATAAATCATTATCCCACCGAACGAAGTTCGAGGGGGATATAGAAAAGCCATCCGTCCGTTCGTCCGTCCGTCCATTTGTGTGTCCAGGCAATAACTCAAATACCAGTTGAGGATTTCATTCAAATTTTATAGGCTTATGCCTTATGGGTGTAGGACCTCTGCGCAAGAAGGAATTTTAAATATGGCCACTTAATTTAAAATGGCCGCCATTTTTCTTAATTTATATGCTTTTGCCTGGGTACATAGGAGCCTAGCTCAAGAAGACATTTTGAAGATGGCTGTCATATTTTAAAATGGCGGCCATTTTTCGTAAAAAACGTATCTTTGATAACTCAAATACCATTGAATGGATTTGGTTCAAATTTTACATGCTGATGCTTAGGGACATAGGAGGGAAAAAGGAAATCAGCTTCAGAAGAAATTTCAAAGGCGTCCGCTGAATTTAAAAATGGCCGCCATTTTTCATAGAAAAGGTAATCTTTGATAACTCAAATACCATTGGACGGATTTACTTCAAAGTTTATATACTGATGCCTAGAGATAAAGGAGCTCTGTTTGAGTATAGATTTTCAAGGTGGCTGTTATTTATCGAAATCACCTCCATTTTTCATTAAACACGTAATCCTTGATAACTCAAGTACCAGTTGATGGATTTGGATTAAATTGTATATGCTGATGCCTTGGGACATAGGAGCTCTGCTAAAGAAGGAATCTAAAGTTGACACCTGAATTTCAAAATGGCAACCATGTTTCATAAAAACATAATCTTTGATAATTCAAATACCAGTGGATGGATTTGGCTCAAATTTTATATGGCTGCTATTTATCAAAACACTTTTTGTTCAGTGAGATTTGCTACTCCTTGGAGTTGCTGTTTGTCTAGTTTCAATGTATAAAGGTTCAAAGCGATTTTTACCCAACAACAAAGTTTGGTAGGGATATAGAGACGCCGTCCTTCTGTCCATCCATTGTCTGTTCATCTACCCTTACATTCGTCTAGGCAAATATTCAAATACTGATCTGGTTCAGGTTTTGTAAATTTTGGGCCTTTATATGATGTGTATGCTACATTTATCTTAACAAAATATATGAGGTTTTACAACAAAATAACTTAAAGGACGATTCTCGGTTTGGAGAACGAAGTTCATCAATCTAAATGAGCATTATCCCTGCTTCGGACAAATTTGATTTTTTTTTACATAATATAGATTTTAATGTCTTCTTTTGAATAGTCATAATTTAATTTGGGTAATATTTCTAGATTTTTCGCAAAAAAATATTAGCGCAATACACTGATGAACTTCTCTCCCCAAATCGAGACTTGTATTTTATTGAATCGGTCTAATTGAGCGTTATCCCTACTTCAGACCGATTTGTTATTTTTACATCTTGTAGATTTAAATGTCCTCTTTTGAATATTCATAGTTTAATTTGGGTAATATTTCCATATTTTTCATGAAAAAAATTATTAGCCCAGATGACTGTTCTCCAAACCGAGAATCGTCCTTTATCCCGTGATACTACTACAGGGACAGGCCAACCCCCCCCCTAGCCTATATTCCTGATAAACATTCATTTTTTAACAAAAGCACCAACAATGATAAAAAAAACATATAATTTAATTTGCAACAAAATAAGATATAAGTGAACAATTTTCAACAACCCTGGCTTTAGATGTTACAGTCCAGATGCCAATCATCTTGATTACCATACTTGGGTGCATCTAGAACAGTTGGAACAGATACCCAGCCTATCAGTGATGTTGAGGGACTGAAACAACGAATAACTAGGAGTTGAATGATACTTCTGTATACATACATCAATCATGCCATCAACCAATGGCTTCCACGTTTCTTAGTGAATAATCGATCAGAAGGTGGGCCTATTTGGACAGACTGAAGAAGAAATCGTCCAGGCAATAACTCAAATACCGTTGGCCCGATTTTGTTCATATTTTGTACATACCCTTTGGGGGAAGTTCTGCTCGAAAGCTGATTTTCAAAATTTTAGTGCCGATTTTACAGTAATTTAGGTACAATATGTAAAACTGTAATAGCAATATATTTTAAACGTAAAAAGATTATATAGGACATGGCAGCAATCTTGAACAATGGTGGCCTTTACTTGCTATTTTACGATTTTTGCTATAACTTGAAAAGTAGTGGAGCGATTTTGTTCATATTTGGAATACAACAAGCATGGCCCACTGTCTAATGACACTTTTGGTGGAAGGCGGCCATTTTGAAAAGTAGCCGCCATTTAACATATTTTACTCGAAAAAGTAGTGGAGAGATTTTGTTCATATTTGGTATGTGAATACTATAAGCATGGCACACTGTCTCATTTTCGCTATATATGCTTTGTTTGTAAAAATGCAAGCCCTGGCTGTTTGATGGGATTTGCTACGCTTTGGCGTTGCTGTTGTCTAGTTATTTTTATATGCATAAACATGTACATTAATCATACATGGTTCAAAACCTGAATGATAACAATATATAATATCCAATTAGGAATGTTTCGCAACGATGATGTAACTTTTAACTGAACAGTAAAATTTGGTTGAAATAAGCTATTGTTAGCAAAATCGATGAAAATATTGAAATGGTATTTTTTGACCCACATTTCACATAATTGGTTACATCCCGAGTCAGGGTTGTTGAAAATTGTTGTACAAGTTGTATTATATATCATGTTGTTGCAAATTAAATTATCTTCAAATGATGTATTATAGTTAGCGCTTTTGTTAAAAAATAAATATTTATCAGGAATATTGGCTAAGGGAGAGGGGGGGGGGGTTGCCCACCCTGTATTTCCTGTTGAATAAAATAAAATTAAAAAGAAAATTTGAATTTTTAAAAAAAATTATGGTTCCCTCCCAATCTCTCTTATGAAAATCATATTCAACTCCCAGGAATTTCTGCCAAACATTGCTTTCTATTTTGTTCAGTTTGTTTGGTATATTGAGCTATACTGTGTTATCATGCACAGACTATTTTCTAAACAAAGTTGAAAATGGAAAGATTTGGAAAAGGACAGTCCTATTAATTTCATTGGAGGGCAAAACATGCAAATATAAGGAAAAACCTTATCAGCTATGAACGTTTTCTTCAGTTTTCTGAAAGCAAAATACTTTTTTGATGTTGATGGGTTGATGTCTTCATGTTATTTTTTTTCTAAGTTTATTTATTTACCGGTCGTGGGTTGAATATGGGTTTGTTCCTCATGACACTACCATGTTTTCCTCTATCCCTTTAGGAAATATCATACTGTCCCTCAGCATAAAAACCATATTCAATCCCTCCATGTTTGTAAATAATCTCTATATACAGGATGTTCCAATAGAAATATACCCAAATGAAATATTTTTTGACACCCTGTTTGTGCACATTTCATCATTGTATATTATGCGTAAGTTTTACCATTGATTTGCTTAGCAAGGATAAGGGTTTGTTTTCATTTCTAAAGCGAGTATATGGCTCTTATTGAAGATGATTGAACAATTCAACATTACGGAATACCAATAACACTATCTAGCTTTTGACCAATAACGCAGATGTGAGTAGGTAGTTACCAGTTTCACCACCAGGTGGCTCGTTCCGGTAAGATAGCATGGGGGGTATAGTCGAAAGTTAGCTTTAACTCAAATTACATCTGTTTTAGTGGTTCAATTTTCATATAACCCTTATGTTTCTAATAGTTATGCAAATTAAAATATGTCCAGTAAAAGAAAAAGTAATGTGTCGAATACAAGAAAAGATATTTCACTTTTTGAGATTTTGTAACATGGGGTCTATGGGGAATCAACCCGAACAAGAAGTCACATTTTCAAAATAATTCAATTTTCAAAGTTAATTAACAATTTTTGAAACTACATTTCTAGATGTACTTTTACATGTAGATTTCAAATATGACATCACATTGACTGAATTTTGAATATTTTATGATGTTAATCAAGATTATTTCTATTCGCATCTAGTCTTTTATAACGCAGGTTATTTATTTCTGTGTCTATGCAATGAGCTGGCATGTGCGTCTATCATGAATTGAATTCAAAGTAGCCAACTAGCCATCCCTTTTCCTAACTTGAAGTACCCATGATACTGGTATCTTCTTATCAGGGCTGAATAATCCTTAGAACCCCTTCACCCTTTGTAGCTAAATGAGCAGTAAGAATAATATTTATCGCACCCTTAGGTGCTATATCACCCTTGGTATACGCAGCTAACGAAAATTGACCGGTACGGGTCAAAAACTGGACCGGTACGGGTTAACGGTTTTATTTGAATTTAAAACAGCCATAACTTGCTCAATATTGACTTCCTCGTGTCTAATTTGAAATATATGATGCCTCCCGATGCTTTTAAGTACCCCAATTTTTTATAGATTTTTAAACAGACCAAAACTCTCTAAATGCGCATTTATTCTCTTTTCTCTCGAGAACGACTGTCTCATTTTCACGATAACCTTTATTTAGTACTTCTAACATATAAGATCTATTTTTCCCCATCAAGGTATGATGTAAATGACATGCTATTTACATCTTGTGAGTTTCAATGACGCGCGTTTGATTTTATAAAAAATGCCAAACTTTGTGACAAAGAATTTCCTCCTGCTTGCAGCGAGAAGACGGACCGGTTCGGGGCATGGCTATTGCCAAAAATTGCTAAAATTGTGTCTGTGAAGGCTTGTCTACAGGTTTCCAGCCAAACTGTTTGAGGGATTCATTTGAAATTTTCAGGGATGTTTCTACCTATGAAAGTTTATAACTCATTAGTTTTTCGGCATTCTATGTAAATGTTAAGGTGGCCATTTTGGATTTTCCATCCCGAAAAGTGTATTCTGTTCAAGGGTGCGATTCTGTTCACCGTGTGGCTTATTATACAGATGTGATTGAATACTCATATGTCCTTTGATGAAATAAAAGCAGACAATAGAACTAAATAGTCATTGTTGACTAAATAGTCAAAATGGATTAGTCATCAATTCATTTCAATTCATTTTGTGATGTTTGTTAGTTGTTTGTCATGCAGCTTTGTTTATAGAAGTCCTTTTGGTTAAGAAATATCAAGTTGACATTTTAAAAAGTCATTTATTCACAAAATGGTTATTTACAATACTTGTATCGTATGTACACATTTTACAATCAACATTAATTTGTTCAAAAAAATATTTGTACAACAAATATGATCAACATAACAGAGTATTTACCGTTAGTATGTACAGTTGTTAGAATTTAAGATACATCCTTTTTGTACAATCCAGTATGTTAAAAGACCGTTAAGCTCTAGTCAAGGTTAACAGATTCTCTACTAGTGTCCAAATGCCTGATTGGATGGCTGGTATGTGATCTCTGAGACACGGGGATATCAAGGCGTTGACTTTTACAGTCTCTATTGCGTTTATTAGCCAGCCACTTACGCACTTGGGCTGGGGACACCTTGGCTTTTACAGCGAGAGCTCTGCACTCAGTAGAGCTGAGATAGGGATTGTGAGTGTTCTTAAGGTACCAGTCCATCAGAACACAAGTGGTGTCCTTTGAGAAGTTGAGACGACGGTAGACTCGACCAGACTTCTGGATCTTTCCCGTAGTTGGCTTTGATGCGGCAGATGGCTGGGTTTGAAGGGTCTGTGTATATCCATAGAGACCGTCACTGTTTCGTGGTTCATTGACAGCCATCTTAGTTGAAGTTGTTTGACAACTTGATGAGTTCTCGAGAAGTTTTAGACTTTCTTCAACACGGTCTATCAATAGATGTCGCTGTTTATCATAATGTAATTGCACGCTCTGTTGATAGTACACATCACCAGATGTGGTGAGTGCTTGGTAACGTTCATGCTCTATAGTTGCCGTATGTTGACGGTAGAATGACAAAAGCTGATTGGACGAGACACAATGTTGGATATCCAGCATACCAAAGCGTAAATCCAACATAGATGCTCTCAGAGTGGGAGGCACTGTCATCTGAGGTGCTATGCTGTGAAAGAGCAGCGATGGGGTGTTTGTTGTTGTCATGTCACCAGCCAGTGCTGCTGAAAGTTCATAGAATGCTGGGTCATGCGATAGTTGATTCATTACACCTCTTGGTTGTCGATAATCCACTTTTGGTAGCCCTTGATAGTGCACTCGGGATGGATTGTTGTAGGTCCCTTGTCGCTGTTGGGTTGTCTGGCTGCTATTGACTTGCGGTGCTTCATAGTAACTCCTCAGTGGTAGCGCACAGGAATTATCTTGTGGCAAATCACATGGTAACTTCATTGGTGACACCTGGTCGGTCTGTGGCTGGTAAGCTGGTTCGCCCTCTGGTGATGATTCTTCAGGAAGACCAAGCAATCTGCGTATTGAGAATGGTGAATCGAGATCTGAGTTAAGAAGACTTGAATTGCGGTTAGCTGTTGGTGTCCGACATACTACTGCATCTAGTTCCTGGTAACTGTTGCTTGCCATGTTTTGATGTTTGATAAACTCTGATATAATGATGTTACTCTTGTTTGTTAATTTTTAAGATATGACTTTCTTAGAAAATGTTTGCCTATTTATAATAAGATGAACAAATCCTCCCTTTTGATTGGATAATACATGTAGCTGTTATCTGGTATATTTAAGTATTACTGTATACTGTTTGTTCTTATAAATAGAGAAAAAATAACAAAAGGATTATAAAAATGCACAAATATGATCAAAAAGATCAGTGATATGATCAAACAGATCAAAAACATGATAAAAAAGATCAGAAAAATGAACAAAGAAATGTTTCAGATTTGCAGATCATCCAATGATAACAAAGGAATTAAGGTTTAAGATCAGTTTGATTGCATTTAACATGTTTATACATGGCATTATGTTTTGATTAAACTGTCATATTAGTTTTATACTTTTTAAGAGACCGCCATGTGTGAAGATCAAAGATGTGATCACCTAAATGTTAAAGAGATATTCCTTGAATAATAATCAGAATTAAAGGGACATTGATTGCTCATTTCTCTCTTGATTGACATGGAGAAATGTTCTGATAAAGTCAAAATCATTTAAAAATGTTCAACCAAAGTAAAAAATTTCACTGTCTGAATTTTGGTAGTTTATGCAAAACACACATTCCATGTTTTTCAGCTTGGTCCCTAGGGACTTTATATTGCTTAATTATACCCAAATCAGTGGCGTAGCCAGGATTTGGTGACCATGGGTTCTATTATTCACAAATCTCCCCCCCCCCACCTCGTTAGGGTCGCACATATAAAAGCATTTTTTGTATCTAAACATAGTGCATACAATTTACACTCCCTCTAAAAGTTTGGTAGACTTAACTTCCCCATTGGATTACGTGTTAAAAAGCCTCTTTATGTTTGAATTCTCATTTGCATAATCTATAAAGAAAAAAACTATTTCAGGGTTACAAATTATACATTTTGTAAATTGGTATCATTTCCAATACCTCATTTTTCTCGCAAAATACATGTGGACAACTAAATTTGAACTTTGAATTTAAACATCATTTAACAAAATATGATATCTTTCTTAACGCTCAATGAAGTTTCAAATCTCTCAAAGGTCAAATATTTTCAAGAGAACTCACCCACTGAAATAACACAACAGGCAAAAAATTTTAAAAATGACTTTGAAGCTCTGTAACTTTAATTTTCGCAAAGTAAATAAACACTTAGCATGCAAAAAATTAGGCGATTTAATGTTATAGATAAAATTTAAATTAATTTGATGAATCTTCTGATATCCTGAAATCTAATTTACCTGAATTCACCATTTCGCAAAAGATTACAGGGGACTATTTTCAAATATTCATCAAAGCCGTCAATTTTCGACCTATTTTTTGCAGGTTATATAAATAAAAATTCAAACATACTGTAAATAGCGTTAAAACATAGTCCAAAGTTAACACATGGTGGGATCATCTAAATTTGGGAAGACCCTCGAGCATGATTTTTACTAAAATATTAACTATTTCGTACATTTTATTTACTTCAAAACTGCTTCATTTCGGACAAAATAAATCACTCTGTTCAATGGCTAAAGGAATCATTCTTTTGCAGTGATTTTGTTGGATGCTAATTTGGATTAAATACAAGGTTATTGAAAATGCTGCAGACGTCCTCCACTCCGAAAGATCAATCGTTTTTCTAACTTTATACAATGTTTACACAAAGGCTTTTTAAAACATTCGGGAAAGTCTTATTTCTGATGAAAACATCTGTTTTTCTTTGTGCATCTTGGTTATATCTTGTTTCAAAAAGAAAAAATATATCTTGGGTAAGTCCCCGGAGCTGGTAAGTCCCCGGAGTAGATCAATTGCATGAAATAATCAAAACGTTTTGAAATGTTTATATATGCTATATATGGCATATGCCATTTACGTAATAACTCATTTCAAATCGTTTTTATTAATGCAATTGATTTGCTCTCGGGTAGTTGCCAGCCCCGGGGAATTTCCAATTTTATTTTTGAATAGTTTTAATCAGTTTTATGACTTTTGCAGTTTTTTGAAGTCTTTGTGAAAATGTTGTAAAACATTATTATAGAGAAACGATCTTTCAGAGTAAATGATGTCTGTGTCGTTTTCAGTAACTAGGTATTGGACCAGAACTGGTTTCAAAATCCCTACAAAAAATTGAACGATTTCAAAAACCATTGCCCTAGATGATTTATTTTGTCCAAAAAGAAGCAGCTGAAAAGTTTAAAAATAGATTGTGGGACATTATTGATGTTTTTAAATGTATAAGATGTCATTTTCAGGGGTCTTCCCAAAATTATACTATCCCATGCGTTTGGTGTGTTTGGTACCCCCCCCCCCCCCCCCATAACCAATAAAGATATGACCATGAGATAAAAGAGCTTTAAAATGCCTTTTATTTGAAGCTTTAAGCTCAGTTTGAAGGAAGTTGCATCAAGTTTTTTAAAATTCTAGATAAATCTTAATTTTGGGCTTGATTATGCCACAATCGCACCCCCCCTCCCCCCAACTGAAACCCGAAATTTTGGCGATCGCACCCCCCCTGACTGAAAGCTGGCTACGCCCCTGTGTAGATTGTAATTATAGCATTGTCTCAATGGTTCGTGTCTCAGAAAATTCAAAATGGCTGCCTCAAGCAGGAATTCACGATATAATGTAATTAAGAGATCTCTTCAATATATGGTTACATTTAGGAGCCATGGGGGTTCAAGGGGTTCTACCTACCAAATCCCCCTGACCAAAATTCTTTTTAAATCATACAGTTTTTCATGATTCTGAGCTCATTTTTCATGTGATTTTGGGCCAAATTTGTAAAAGTGAACCCCCCTTGGAATATTTCTGCAAAGTGAGCTCCCTTGGCAAAAGCTGGCTACGGGCCTGCATTTTACTATATTAGATCACACATATTGTATGCATATATTTATTGCCCTTTACAAAGGAGATGCATGTATTTTCTTTATGGTCTGTGCCTTTGGAACTTCTGTCACCTAAACTAGCTTGAATTGGTGGAAATTCTAAATATCCAATATCTGTCTTTTATGATCTGTAAATCAAGGGTAGAGTAGATATGGTAAATATTATGTTGTAACATAAACATATTCATGAATATTTTGTTTGTTGGGATTCAATACTCCGTGAAGTTGCCATTTTCTAGTTATCACTTTAGAATCACCTATAATTGTTCACATGGGTATATTTTAATGTGCCAAGGTCACATGATTAATATTTTCATGCAGAAAACTAGGATGCGTGATTATTTATTAATCATGTTAATAAATAAAGAAATAAAAGCTCTTTATTGCAGATCTTTTTTAATAAAACGGAGCAATTTATTCGATTTTTATGTCACCACCAAAAGTGGTGACATATTGTTATGGTCTCCGTTTTTTTTTATGTCACCACCAAAAGTGGTGACATATTGTTATGGTCTCCGTTTTTTTTTGCGACGGCGGTTGGCGTCCGGCGTCCGGCGGTTGGAGGTTGGCGTCCGGCGGTTGGCGTCTGTAACAATTTCTTACAACTTCCTATAACTTAACAAATACTGTTTAGACTGACTTCAATTTTTTTCTAAATCATCTACATGTTCTCAGAAGTTCAAATCTGACTTTAGATTTGACATTTGACCTTCAATGACCTTCTCAAGGTCAAAAAGGTCTTTTTTCAACTTGCTTCACATTGACTAAATTTTTTTTCAAAATCATCTACATGTTCTCAGAAATTCAAATCTGACTTTAGATTTGACATTTGACCTTCAAATCTGACTTTAGATTTGACATTTGACCTTCAATGACCTTCTCAAGGTCAAAAAAGGTCAAAAAGGTCTGTTTTCAACTTGCTTCAAATTGACTAAATTTTTTTTTCAAAATCATCTACGTGTTCTCAGAAATTCAAATCTGACTTAAGATTTGACTTAAGATTTGACATTTGACCTTCAATGACCTTCTCAAGGTCAAAAAAGTTCAAAAAGGTCTGTTTTCAACTTGCTTCAAATTGACTAAAAAAAATTTTCAAAATCATCTACGTGTTCTCAGGAATTCAAATCTGACTTTAGATTTGACTTAAGATTTGACATTTGACCTTCAATGACCTTCTCAAAGTCAAAAAAGGTCAAAAAGGTCTTTTTTCAACTTGCTTCAAATTGACTAAATTTTTTTTCAAAATCATCTACGTGTTCTCAGGAATTCAAATCTGACTTTAGATTTGACATTTGACCTTCAATGACCTTCTCAAAGTCAAAAAAGGTCAAAAAGGTCTTTTTTCAACTTGCTTCAAATTGACTAAAATTTTTTTTCAAAATCATCTACATGTTCTCAGAAATTCAAATCTGACTTTAGATTTGACATTTGACCTTCAAGGACCTTCTCAATGTCCAAAAAGGTCAAAAAGGTATTTTTTCATCTTGCTTCAAATTGACTAAATTTTTTTTTCAAAATCATCTACATGTTCTCAGGAATTCAAATCTGACTTTAGATTTGACATTTGACCTTCAATGACCTTCTCAAAGTCAAAAAAGGTCAAAAAGGTCTTTTTTCAACTTGCTTCAAATTGACTAAATTTTTTTTTCAAAATCATCTACATGTTCTCAGAAATTCAAATCTGACTTTAGATTTGACATTTGACCTTCAATGACCTTCTCAAGGTCGAAAAAGGTCAAAAAGGTATATCTTTCAACTTGCTTCAAATTGACTAATTTTTTTTTCAAAATCATCTACATGTTCTCAGAAATTCAAATCTGACTTTAGATTTGACATTTGACCTTTAATGACCTTCTCAAGGTCAAAAAAGGTCAAAAAGGTCTGTTTTCAACTTGCTTCAAATTGACCAAATTTTTTTTTCAAAATCATCTACATCTTTTCAGAAGTTCAAATTTGACTTTTCAAGTTCTCAGAAGTTCAAATCTGACTTTAGATTTGACCTTTGACCTTCAATGACCTTCTCAAGGTAATTTTTCAACTTGCTTCAAATTGACTAATTTTTTTTTCAAAATCATCTACATGTTCTCAGAAGTTCAAATCCGACTTTAGATTTGACATTTGA